AGGGCAGCGATCTTACCATAGGTTATGATTTCTTTCAGACATTTTTTAAATGAATAAGATATTACTAAATACGCCGCAATAAATTTCGATCCATACAATATAACTGTAAAAAACAAATTAACGATTAAGCAACTTAAGTAATATCAATGTTCTTTCTTTGGTTCCTCATGCAATGCAATACAATACTACAGCAAAAGTACTCGAGAACGCTGATATCTTAAAAATGGCACGACTTTGCTTTACTTCTTAGCTACAGCTATTTTAATCGTTTTTTCAGCCATTAGGCCTTATATAATAACACAACCATCCACAAGCATGAAAGCGTACAGGTATTGTCAATCAACAAATTTATACTGTTAAACAACTTTTCGCACGATAACGAATGGAATAAAATTAGTAACACATAATAACTATTAGCATAATTATTCTTAATTTAATTACATAATAATTATTATTAATAACTATTAACATAATGACTTACTTATCTGTCGTTGCTTTTTTCCAACTGAACGTTCAGGAAGAGATCTCAACTATGGCTTTTGTAACCGCACGTTGATAACCGCTCTCTGCGTATCTATTCTGTAGAGTAATTTATTAATCTACTTATTATCCAGTTACGATTTGACTGTAAATCTACATTCTCCTCTGTCCCCTTCACTTTTCCCACCTCGGCTAAGTCTACGCTCTACCTCTACTGTTGACCACTTTTCCTCCTTTCCGGACGGACGACTAATAGGCTTAAATTATATTCGAATAGCATCCATAGCAGACATTACAAAAAAACGTGTTCGTTTTCGTGCCGTGTAACATCCACAGAGATAGTTGAGTAAGTTCTGGTTTTTTAATTTACCATACCACACAAACTTTCAATAGAAAGAGAGCAATAGAGCAAGTAATCAATTCTAAATAATCTTGCACGAATTCATATGACATGTTTGAAATTGTTGGTGAAAAGCTGGCATTGAAGGGTTTTACCGGTTGCAAACAAAAGTGCATCAATAAACAAAATTGGTATAATGATTTAAACCGTTTGCCTTAATGTTTTGTACTAACTTGCCGGTAGTACCAAGCCATTAACGGCGTGTACCATGCAAAAAAATTAGTTCGATTAGAAAATTGATTCTTAATTCGATCGGATGAATTCACTTAAGCAATGTTATAAGATGTCTAAATCTTGACTTCTTAACAACGAATAATAGTTAGTCGTTTGGGAACCTCGTATTCTCTGATGAACACCTGTTCGTGCTTCATGCAGACAATAGAGTTCGGTGCTTCAAACTGTGCCTTAACCTTTGTGCTTAATATACCCGGTCTGACGAATCCCCCTCACTCCTTTGTTCATTGGTATTGCTAGAAAAGGCTTTTTCTGCACTATTATTAACCTTTAGCGGGTATACCATAAATATATACTTTCTAGACTATAAAAAATACCCGTATGATGGGCAGCAGTACAAACCAGGTAGCTAGATATCCTTTTCGAATATTATCCCTGGGACCGTAGAATAGTTTTCTTCTTAATTGACGGACAATAAAACGAAACGCTACGATATTTTTTCCGCACATTGTTTCTTCTATTTTTCAGTTTTCATTCTCCTCACTCTCCAACTTTTCCCTTTCCGTCACGCACCTTGCAAAGCTCAAATCATTTCACGAGCTCTTTCGACAGTGGGATTCTGTTCCGAGCGACAAACTGCCCTGCAACTCATGGCCCTTTCGATTTTGTCCATACGATAACAAGTTCTCCGGATTCTTCGAACAGAACTGTCTTGCGCAATAGCATAGAGTAGTAGGAATCGTAAACGAGTCCCATGAGGACAGACGCCTCACAATGATGCGCCTCAGAGCCTCACCGCCGCATCATGCAGTGACAGCAACTGAGTAGTTTTGACACTGATTTTAAATCAACTGCCCTATCTTAGCACGTAGCCTGCTTTTCTGGAATGTCTGTGTGCCCAGTCTGTTGCTGTCGCAGGCAAGCAACTCAAATAATGCTTCGGTCTAAGGAGACCGAGGGAGGAAGCAAACCGCAAAAGAGGTTAAGGAATCTTTTTTTCGTATAGTGAGCTATTGCCGTTCTGACATTTGTGCCTCACCTAATACGATGCGATACAAACTCGCGGAAAGCTGTATTTTTAGAATCAGGTAGACTTAGCTTGTGCTCCGAATCTTTTTTACCTTTTCTTGCTACTACAAAAAGTGTGCAGCTTAAAGGTATCAAACGCGTAGAGAAATGAAGTGCCCAAGGGATAAGATCTAGCAAAGCATAAGAAGACAATATCAGAAGCATACGAACCTAAAGAGATAAGCATGCTTCATTCATGTTCTGCTACTTTATGGCAGAGAACGTAGAAAAAATGTGTCTTTGTGTTTATCTTCATCCAATCTTTTTCCAATTTTTCCTAATTGACTTATTTGAGGTTTTTCATTTAAAAAATTGTCTCCATTTTAAATTAACCCAAAAGGTTATATGTCCGTAGACATTTAGTGTCAATTAAAATATGTACCACGATTACATATAGAGAAAGATCAAGGCCAAGCTTTTGTGATGATTTATCTTCTGCTAATGTATCTGCTGGTATGATAATTAGAGCAATAATAACACGTCGCATTGCACTCAAGCCACATGGTGGCAATAAGGAAAATATCTACCCAACACCCAGCCCTTTTTCTTGTCAATTATGACGAAAGCGGCTGGGGCGAGCACCGAAGCGTAGTCTCGGCCCAGTGTGCACCATCTTTTTTCAATTTAAACATATATCTAGCTTTTATTTGGTTACCTAAACACATAGGAGGTAATGAAATTACCGAATTATACCCTCTAGATCCAAAAGCCACAGCCCGTTAATTATTTTTATCTTTCCTTTAACACGTATAACACCCATTCTGAGAAACCTATTCAAGTCATCCTTTGCGACACATTTTTTTTCAGTTAAAGTAACCCTGCTCTTCGGTGTGTAGAACAACACCCTATATAAGGTAAGAACGAAAACCGTATTTGGTCTAATTTCATGGTACAATTTTTTCCAGTTCTACTATTTAAAGCGTCCTTCTACGAATGCGTTTTGTCTTTCTGACACTGTTTCGAGTTTTACGTTCGATATCGCCATTAGGTATTCCATCAGACGGTTGGCTCCCAGCACGAAACGAAGTATGTCTGTACCCGGGTTCGAACCTAGACCACAACGTGTCCCTAAGATTAGCAGGTATTAACGAATCTCTGACGATATTGTCTCCCTGACTTATCAAGATCAAAGCATATCACTGCAAACTCATTCAAATGGTAGCGATATCCGCGAACCACCAGTTCCATCACAAAAAAAAGCATACTAAGGGTAAGCACTTCGTGAGCATTAATCAAGTGCTAGACTTGCTTGAAAAACAGAAAAATGCGACTCGTCTTGTGGAGAAAAGAAAATTGTACAATCAAATTTTGTCTTTATTTATGAATAGTAAAAATCCGGAATTTTTCGTTGTGCTGGCGTAAAGCACCACACAAGATAGATATAGTTGGTCTACTCTCAAGGCTAACCGAACATGTTTAGTACCAAAGCTATGCAGAATGGACCTTTAAACATATGCACATCATTATATTACGCAAATATTTATCATGCATAAGTTGATGAGTTGTAGTTCAACCTTGATCACTACTGAACAGCTGCCGTGATAAGCGAAGTTGCTGTCTTGGCGCGATTGGTTCGAGCGTCTGCGTTACTAGATGATATACTGATTTGTTGCAAAAGCCACTATGCGCGATATTCAATACCCTCCAGTGGTTTTTGGAATCACAGAACACTTTGGAAATAACCAGTTTCGATTGGATGTTCTTCTTTTCGAGTACAAACAAACTGAAAAGTTGCGGTAAAATATCACACATTTGGTTGTCTTTTACCTTTTTAAAAATTATAAGCCCGCGCCGATGATATGACATTGTTAACAGAAGAGCATTCGCGAAAAAGTGAATTTTCTTGTATTTCTATACGAAGCTAAACCTACATAGATAATCATTAGACAAAGACTAAAATTCACGTAGGCATATTTTTCCAAGGTAATATAGGCAAACTTCTACAAACGAATAAATCAAAGAAGATAAATTTAAGTTTTTCTGTCAAACCTGCCTGTGTAAAACCTTGACGCGCATTTTTTTCAACTACCTGCTTTCTACTTTTTCTAACTGTTACCCTAAAAGCTATCTTTATTTCATGTTCAAGTATAGATAATCTCGTTATATCAACAGATCGTAAAGGAATTACGCTATCTAAGATGTTTAATTGTTGTATAAATTAATCAGGAGTTTGCGCGTAAACATGTTTCAAAGTAAACTGCAGTAAAAGTGACGAATATTGCAATATCCTTCGAGCCTGAACCATTTCAAATTTCATCCGCGGCGTCATCGTACTCGTATCTATTTTTATGACTACTTAAGGTGAATATATATTCATATAAATCTCTATATATGTAAAGGCTATACTAATACCTTTGAAATGCTAATTCAAACTCCTGTAGACCCCTGAAAATTGACCCAACTGTATTTGTGTTCGGCATGAGACTACGATCCGAAAATATAAACATGTCCTCTTTGTCTACTTATCTTCTAGTGGTATTTACCAAACAATAATTTATCATAACGGCGTACCTCACTGCAACTAGCATGAAGATTTCCATATAGGATATAAAACTTGTGTATACCAAATATTCGTTCAGAGGTTAACAAAGTGTGTATCTATAATTGTCATGATATCACGTTGCATCGTATGAAATTCATTTATAAGTAAGAAACTTGTGAAACGAAACAAAAAAAACCTTCTAATGTTTCACAAATAGACAATTCTCACATATGCCTTACATATGTTTAGGTACCTGCGTCCATAGGTTTTTTGTATACCGTTTAGTGCTTTTATAGGACCAACGTATTGATCCTGCCCTCTATTGCGACATCTAAGTGAGTCGGTTATAGCATAATTTACCAGTAAAATTAATTTATACATACTACAAGGGCTATCTGACCTTTAACGCGGCAAAAATAAACAACGGAAATGAGTCTTTATTACAGTTTTAACATCATCTTTGTGCTACAATTGATCAAAATCTAGCATGGCTTATATTGTAAAATCTCTACGGCAGACGGGGTACTCCCTCAAGCGGAAATTTCTTCAGGCTGAAACATATCATAGCAAAGTACTTAGTACAGACAATTTAGACTATAAATGTTACAGAAATTGAAAAGTACTTGTAGACTTCCCCGACATTGTATGAGAACAATATGTGTATAACTGGTTATTTTCTCAACAATGAGAAAAGTACTAATAATAAACTTTGCATAGCTACTTTATTTTCAACCGTATATAACCGTAACCGTATTTAATATATTAATAGATCATATTATGGATTGTAAGTATAACCTGATGAGGCCACTTGCGGCCTTGCTGATGATGATTAACTGATAACATAATGATTTGCAAAGAACATTGTTTAAGGAAGTGCCAATACTGTTGAATTCAATGCTTGCCTCTATCAAATATAAAACACTGGGCAAAGAATACAAACCTTTTCAGCCCAGGTTTGATTTCGACGGGGGGTTCGACTTTTCTACGGGCATCCCGCGAGTAATAATAATTATTAGCGAGTCGATGGGAAGGTCCAGAAGGAAGTGCTGGAGGCTCTGGGTCGCGCGTCTGTTGATCCATTTTGAATCTTAGGGCATTTACGTTTTCCCTCTAAAAAAAAGAAATTCTAGTTTGACTATAACATGTAAGCGTAAGATCTACAATAGATAGGTACATGAAATTATGCTATAATTCATTAGCAAAGGCGTAAGACATCAACTGTTTTTTAACACAGTTCATAAATACACCAAACGTTTGTTCTTCTATTTGCTGTAACACCGGGAACAATTACTAGAAGAATTATTACTATATTATTATTATTGTATTAGTCGCAATGTTGAAACTGGTAGAGCTAGCAAAGAAAAAGATTTCGTGCAAAAAAGATGAATCTTAATACCATAAGTCGATAAAATATATCATGTTTAGCATGATCGCAAAGATTCTTATTTGATATATATATATATATATAGTGGTTAAACGTATTTCCTTTACTAGAAGTCGAATCTGTCAAAAAAAATCGTTAAAGCGTATTTTTTCACATCATTCTAGATTTCGAAGACATCTCTAACGATCTATCATGACGGAATGAACAGTTCGACAAATAATATTTGAATTATGATCATGAGGTAGATGTAACAAATCACCAGGACTAGTGACTTTTAAAAAGTAGAGGGTAAAGATGATGTCACATGTAGAATCTTTACATACCTGCAGCTACAAACACCGTGTATTTATAATCGTTAGGGCTTTGTAAATCTGAACACTTACTTAGAGTGTTGGCAATTTAAAAAATGTCATTAATTATTTGCTGCCTATCCTAGGCATCGAAACACACCAGTTATACGAAACCAACAAAGTAAAAACTATTAAACATGCATACATACTTATTCACCTATTTACAAGCCTTTAGTAAACTAATGGTCTTTATCTCTATTTCCATAAGTTAGTTTTAATGCAGTAATGCGTGCGTTTGCATCAATATTTTTCTACCATGCACATAACAAAAGACAGCTTTATAGTGTTATGTTAATAGCTTAGCTACCTACGCCTAACAGGAAGTGTCTCCATTTCATAACGAGAAATGAAACATCTCGTGGAGTGACTTTTGTCATTTTAATGCGCGCTGAAAATCACTAGCTTTCTCCATAGGATATCTATTCACGATCGCACAAAACCAGTATGCCCTCTGACGGTGTCCTTGTGTGTACAAACATTGGCTTCTGCCAGCCCGCTGACTAGCAGATGACAATATACTGTATTGTGCATGCCAACGTTTTCTGAAGCATGCCTATTTTTCTCTCCCCTTCTTTTGTAAACAAGAGCAGTAGCTTTCTTTGATTACGACGCTCGTTGCAACTGATGGATGCATTGTTGTATACACTTTTTCTACCATGGGTATCTGTTCATGGTTGCAAAAATCGGTCCTTTTCATCATACTCGCTCATCGCTACGGTTTTTGGTTGTGAAATTATCGGCCCAGTCAAGTAGGATACAACCGCTTGTGTAATCTGTGTCTGGGTCTGTGCAATGCTATTGATGGCATCGCTCATTGGTTCGCTTCTGCTTCACCAGCTTTGTCCTTGTCGGCTGCAACCGAATAATAGTTTCTGCAAGAAGCTAGTGTGGTAAACCTGCCTATTATAGCAGAATCAAAAATTTATACTGTTCGAAGCGACAACTAAGGAAGTGCGTTAGCGTGATTGTGCGTTATGCCATAAAGTTGTATTGCTGTTAGCATAAACTGTGTTTGTGTGTACTTATTAACCTCGGTATCCATAACTTTTGGTTATGCAGAAGATAACGGACCTTTGGTGACTGTCTCAAGAGACAACGCAAAGTAATAACGCTTAAGGTGCGTCATAAAGCACACGTACTAAATATCAAGTGTTTTTAACATATAATTATTCCCAAATGACGGCTTCTTATACAAAAGACAGAGGCGCTCCCAAAATCACAAGCGTTCACCGTTTCTGTGTTAACAGACAGCAGTCCCGAGTTCGTGTCAACGACTATTCTAGGCAGAACGGCCCGCCAGCTCTTTATCTTCACATACATTTTTTTCGAAAAGTTCCTTCAACAATAATATATTAGAAAGAATCATATTTTTCCTAAACTGACTGTGGTAACAAATCCTCATAGATGTGGTTGTTGAAGGCGAATCATTCCAATATGAGTACAAGTATTGACACAGTGGTATGACCAGTTCTATTTGACATGCTCCGGTATGGATGTATTTATTCGTGGGGGATGGTCTGCTTTTTTAGTTAAAGAGAAGAGTTCCATGGGGTCACACTGCGATGGCGCTGCTGCAGGGAAAGTCAAGTGGAGATGGTCTGTTCGCATTCAGTGAATATAAGGGTTGGAGTAGACAGGGCTATTGAACCTTCATTAGACTGCCTTCTCTCTTCCCAGACGGACTTGTGGTGACAGAGTCCAAGACCACCATGACTGCTGCATTATACCAACAATGTTACCGATACTGTGATTTTGTTCTTGCAGACAATAGAACATAGAACGAGACTAATTCTCGTTCCTTTTCACGCACCGTGAAACGGCGGGTGGGGATTCCAAATGGTCGACACACAAAGTAACTAGAAGCTGAATACAAACTGCCGCACGACGGCAACCCTGTACCTAGAAGGAAAGAGAACGCTCGAAGGTTTAATTCGGACTATCAAAATAAAAGTCCAGAGTAGCTGATAGACTTGGTCGAGTTGGCTTCGCCTGGAGAGAAAAGCGGTTTATCCGTATGCGTCTGTGCACAGGTGTGCGGAAACCAGATGTTTTATTTCATATTTGCGATATTTGCGTGATGTTGTTTGCGGTGTAAGCGTGATTTCATTACACACCACTACCGCTCTTCGACATATGAATAGGTGAGAAGTTAACAAATTGATATTTGCGTAAGCAGATTTAATACAAATAACAATTAAGTATTCCTTGTGAAAACGGGCAAAGCTCGGGGCGTGGTCTGAAGTCGAGCCTCTCGTCGATTCCGACATGACAACGCCAGTATCGTAAGGTCGCCGAGGACGGCAATGTAGACCACCTGGTTAGACCTCTATCAGTGTTGCAGAATTTAGTGACAGCGTCGAATAACGGACACCATTTGATAAAAATAAAATAGCGCGACCGTGATAATACCTACAGCCAAGGCTCTTTTTGGCCGCATGTGTGGTAACATATTTTTCCGACCCAGTTTTATTGGTAAATGATAAAGATAACCCAGCTTCGAATGCGAAGAAACCCTACAGGTCTATGTGGCCCACACTGTCTTCTTGAAGTGGACGCGCATAGGTACGGTGACTGCAAATTGTTACTTATGCTCTCCTGTATAAGGGTGTGTCATCTGAGTAGTGTATACGGTTGTCCAAGGCTTGTATGACGCGCCATTCAGCCAATGCGCTCGCCATTGTTAACAAGCGTTTTATTTAAACTGGAGAGACGAGCCGTACATATTGTCTAAATCGCACCTTGCTGACACTTACGCCACCATGTCGACAACATTCACTTGCTCCATGATAGAGATTTTCCTGGCTTCAATCTTGTCCGATGATCCGAAAAGTCCGATGATCGTCTATACACTTGTGATTTTTGTTGCTTGCACTGAGTGCGCGCACAGGCAATATGGGCCAAGCAGCCGGTGGCTTGTTGCTTGAAACCAAGAAGCGTAAATGGCTTTCGGAAGCGTTATGATACGTCAAATACGACCTTCCTCGTACGTCGATGGTTAATCTATACAAATATTGACAAAAGCAAGTTTGCGAAATTTATCTTTTCTTACATACCAAGCAACAATGGTAGGCAGCATGTCTCGATTATTTTTAGGTCATTATCTGTAGCATGTATCGGTTTAGCTTAATTACGGGAAATAGGCTGCTCAAACCAAACTGTGCGCCCCTTGCTTCCCTTGACTTAAATAAAAGATATATTTAAGCTATAACCCATAAGCGATTTGCTGGCTGTTGACAAAGCTGCTGTTAAGGTTGCGATCTTAGCTGTAAGAGTGCAAATTGATTTGTCCGCGACTTTCCGGCTGCCATTATATGGTACTGCATAAAAAAATAGAGAATCCGATTGTTGTTTATAGACTCGTAAGTCATACCCAAAACCAGTGAGTTGTATCGTCAGTGATTCGTCATGACTGTGCTTCTTCCCAGCAGTATCTATTATGCAGTTATTTTTATATCCGTTTGCTCTGAAAACAACGGCCATTTTCTAAAAAGTCTGGTCCTGAGCTTCGAAAACAGGTCATCTGTTTACATTTATACTGCCACGACTAAAAACAAAAGACAACAAAAAAAAAGGTTAGCACATATAATAACTTGTTGAATGTTTCTATTTACGATATGGACTCCTGCACTTATCTCCTCAAATTCAAATCTCATCAAACTTGAACTTTGTGTTGGACGTTTTCATTCTTATGCTACAAATATATTGGCTCGAACAGTGATTAGTAACCCTATTTTACATTCTTTTACTAAAGGGTTTTGCAGGAATAATTGCATTTTTGGTACCACTATATGGTGACGATTGCTGCAATTTTATGTGCCCTATATTGTTCTTTATTATAAGCTGTCAAAGTGTTTTTTTGATAACTTTAAATGTTCTTTGTGTTTTCACACCGTAGATGCGCACGCCGTTACTTCAGGTCTTCTTACGACGTTCTGATTGCACCTATGTCGCTACGATAATGTCGCGAAAATGGATATGTTTAGTCTTAACTTTTTTAGCCATTTTTTTTTTAAATTTTTTAGTAACTGCCACACAAGGGCGAGTGTTCCCTGTCGTCTGCTTTTACAGTACGACATCACGTTCCGTTATTTTTTAGCGACGGCAGGCCATGGAGTAAATAAACGTTTGTGTCGTCTACGGCCGCGAGCAATCTGTCACATGTTTCCGCTTGGAGAAGATAAGACGAAGATTGTTAAGAACAAATCAAAGAAACTAAGAATCGAAAGCCTCTGTCGTTAGATTCAGCAGTCAGTCCTTGTTGTGCTGCCGATAATACAGTTCAGTACTAACACCGACTTATGTTCAGTTACTATAGTCATAATTGCTGTTGATGTGGGGTGGTTGACTTGGCAGGCGAAGAACGCCTCTGTTGTTGGTGCTCATCCCTTTGCCTTTTCGGACTATATTTAGAGCTACGTAAAGGGGCTTAGTTTGTCAGTCGGACAAGCAGCAGACGACAGCGGCACTGACGTCGATTACACGCATGTCGTTCACCGCTTCTTGTTGCTAACCTCACACTCGTGAGAGTTTTTCCCCTTTCCAGAAGCGTCAGTCGGAGACGATTATTGGCGGCTTACGCTAACTGACCGGGTGTAGCTCGTGTGTATCTCTTCTAACGTAGCGACTAAAACCCAAGTGCAACAATTACTGATGGATGCGGGCTGGGTCTCCACGTTCCAGCTGCTGCCGCCGCCATCATTATTGCGTTTTGTTGAGCGGAATGTTGTGACTGCTACTACTACTACTGCTACTGCTGCTGTTGCTGCTACTGCGGTGGATGGTAATGTTGGTCTGGTTAGATATTTGGCATTCGTCACTATTGCACAGGCGAGATCTGCCCACGTCGATCGTTTGGTGGATTCTGCGAACCAACTTGTACCTGCTGGATGCCAGTGCGGTCGCAGAGTCTTTTTTACAACTTGAATAACTTCAGCGTAGTTAACTTACTCCATAAGCCTAGACGACATCTCGAGTGAGTTAGTCCAGTTAACGAAGTGAATTCAAGTGGATGTTAATTGAGAGACATGGTGCTGATAAATTGCTAGCAAGATACCTGACATTTTCAATTGTCATTTTTCTTTAACTATTCTAGCGTGATATATGATACAATACGCAAAGTTTAGTGAAACGTATCTTTTGATCTTACGTAGCCCTGTCATCTACAAATGATAATTTCAACTATTTGACGAAGAAAGTGGCGAGTAAGCTGACGACTTATGTGGCCCAGCAGGTTCTATAAACAGTTGTTCCTGCCGCAGTAATAGCATTTGGCAAACAACAAATTATCTGCCATAATAAATTGAACAATTGCATTTTTCTCGTTTCGGTCTTTGATCATCAAGACCACCGAAAATAGGGATTGTATAGGGGTAAATTGTGTTTCTACTGCGATCCACGGGCGATTACTGTGTTGCTGGGTATTGTATTATTTGTCGTCAAGTAACATCGTTTTTGCTTCACAATTGTTGTATATAGTAATAGTTGGACCTTATTTTAATTACGATAGACTTGACAAGTATACATAATCGTATGCTATATATATATATATATATACACTACGATTTTATTAATATTACCTCATTATTATTGCTGCCTATACTGCTTAAGCAGTATCTCCTAGCCTTGATGCTCTTATATGTGGGCAACTCATCTATTTGGTCGTAGTTTTCGAAGCGGAGGGTATTTCGGCTGGTCCTGGAGATCCCCTCGTTGGGAGCCGTTTCCTCGTTACCTAATCTACGATCTACGACGACAGCAACAGCTCACGTATACACGAAAAGTTACGATGGCCGACGAAGTAGTGCTCCTTAACGAAAAGGAGACAAATTCTGGACGAATAACAGCCGAGCCTAGTGGCGAAGATCCCCAGCAGCAGACAGCGGGTGACGGTGACAGCGAATCGGATAGTGGGGAAGGATGCGAAGCCCGCAGTTTAGCAGAAAAGGCGTTCCTTCGGAAGGACGAGGCCACGGCCAGCGATGGACTACGCGAAGGCCTAGCCGACGGAAAGGAGAAGGCATTGCAACAGGGATTCGACTCCGGCTTTAAACAAGTAAGTTTAAAAGCATACGTTATCCACTCTAAATTAGTTAAGATATTAGATCAGCTAATTAAGCCAGTGCTTGTAGTGAGAATTGCTGTAGCCTTTTTTGGTGACACCTGGCATTTCAAGATTCAAGCAGAAAATATATTGTAGCTAAAATAAATTTTAATACGTTTAAGTATAGCGAAACGAGGTTAAAAGGATATTCAACTTTTTATATCTCATTAAGATTCTCTCCTCAGTACCATTTTTTTGTGGGTATCAAGTTAGACTATGATACCTGGGCTTTTTTTTGGCATCTACGTAATAGTGAAAAGAGATTTTTCGGCTGAACTTTAACATGCCGAAGAACTATCTCAGCTCATAGATAGATGATTATTGTAAAACCTTTATTGTACGACCATTGTAAAGCCATTCGATATTCATCGAGCAGGTATGGCTTGTGCGTAGTCACATTCTTATTTTCCTGCGAAATCTCTGTAAATTATCTTACAGCATGTTCATTTTTAGGATAGTGGATTGGTAGACTTTTCAACCACATAGCAGATTTGCGGAAGATGAAACTCAAGTCGAAAAGCAAATGAATCGAGAGATGAAAACGACTAGCTTCGCAGAATACGAGAAAATCAAACAATAAAGAAAGAAGAGTGTAATGAGCAAAACCAACTCGGAAAACAAGTGTAAAACTTTAAATAAACACTGGCCATATAATGAACTTGTGAATATTAAACGATTCTCGGAAGCAGCGCAGGAGATTATTTAAATTCTGTCTTACTATTCTTACAGAATAGTATTTAATCATTTCATTAATGTCTATTTTCAATCTTTGCTTTGAAGAACCATAAAAGAGTATTTCAATGCCTTCAGTTGTGAAGTGGGCTTGGTGTTCAATGGATTGTTGGACAACATAATTTAGTTGTTAATTTTAATATTCTATCTTCAATTTGAATCAGACGCATTAAAATCTGGAATATAACTCGAAAGTCTGTTTTGAAACCTTCCAGGACAAACAGTTATATTATGCTACGTAATGGGAAATAAAAGAAGGGTGAAGGAGCATAACTGGGCAAGGATAGCTCAGAAACACTACCATTTTTTTTATGCAACTTTTAGAGGATAAACAAAAGTATTGTGTGTTATTTTGGTATAGGATAACCGTGAAGTACATTTCCCGTCCACCAATATCTGTAACCATGTGTGTGCTTTATTTTTTGGAAATTATTCTCCAGTGAAGACAGCATTAGTTTCAACATTACGCAGTTATAGCTCCAATCTTATGCGGACACCTTTTGGACACTGTATAAATACAAAGAGTGCAAAGTAACTTTTCAGAAACCCTGAATACTACGTACAGGCTTATTACCATGTATAAGGTTTATTTAACAAATGGTAAAGATTCTACCCGAAATTGAAACGTATAACAAATGCATGTTAATTCGAAAGCTATTCGCAAAATTATAGTAAAGATCTGATACGAGATAGGATGCTAATATGAAATGTAAGAAACGTGAAGTATGAGAAACCACCGTGATCCTTATAACTGTAAGCGGTGGACACGTTTAAGTACGAGACAGAATTTTCCTTCTCTGAAGCGCATGAATTTCAACAACTAACCTTCACTATGAGGTTTTTTTTACTGTACCTGTCTCTGTTGCAGGGTTTCCAGTTAGTGGAAAACATCTCAATATGGCGCGGTTTCGTCCAGGGTCTGAGTACTTCGATCAAGAAACTCGACAGCGGTCAAGAAGAGAAGAAGCAACTTTATGCGTTGTATGGCAAGCTGTTAGAATTCGAACAGAAGGTCATAAATTCGGAGGCACCTCTCGAGGAAATTCGTGGGCAAATGGAACAGGTGAAGAAGGATATTAAGACAGTGTTGAACACACTTGGAATGGCTCATTTGCTGGACACGATGACGGATCTATGAGAATTGGTTTTCATTTGACTTGCAGCGTTTCTCGTTGCGTGACATGGCGGTACTAACTTAACAGGACAGAACAGAGGCTCTATTTGGGACACGAACGTGTCGAATCGTAATACTGTTGTGACCACTTCTTGAGTTGTGTGTGTGTGTCTCTCTATTCGGGACTTGGCAGGATGTACCTAAAGTATGAGGTAACTATGGATTATTGCTTTCACGTATTCGGGCGTCCGGAAGACACATTACTTGAATCTGGTGGATGGCGCCTAAAAGTAAGCGGAGTTATTGGGTCTGGATACAACTGACGCATATAAAAACACAGACTTTAGATGATCAAGCGGTAATAGTCTGGTTATTAGTTGCCGTCATCATCGCGTGCGAAGGAAGGATGTATATCAGAAAAGGAAGTTTGTTTCATAACCTCCTTATGCCTATCCACATCACTCTTAAACCGTTGTACGCTCTAGGATTGTACGTCGCCAGGCTATGGCAGCGCCACCCAGCAGTAATGAACAGCCGAAAACATGGTCGAGTTCACACTGATCACGAAGCTCTCAGACCCTGTAGATATAATATCACATAACCTACATACAAATACACAAATAATGACGGGGGAAGCTATGACTCAATAAAAAAGCCTAGAATCTGAGAATAGCTACATATATATATATATATATATATATATATATATATATAATTTTAAAGTAAAGTGCTCTAAAAACTTTATCCTATGATGAACAGAACGACGTTAATAGGTCATACATAAAATACACTACCATAAAAACGCGAAGAGTTGATCGCCCAGATATTTGAATATTTCCTGTTTTTTTTTAATGTAGGAATAACGATAACTTACTATTCAAGTATGCCACACCAACAACAAAAACGAAAATAAAAAGGTAGTTCTACAATATTTAGACCGGTGCTACCAAATTGATCTATAGCCGCTCATTTAAGGTCGATAAAAGTATGTGTCAGTGGCGAAACGGAGCGGCGTATCTGAGCATCATGGTCGCGTTAATATGAGGAAACGCTTGTTTTTGCCTAGTAGATCCCGTCTCACGTGGCAAATAAGTCACTGAAGTCTACCGGCTGTGCAGAAAATTCAATAACACAAAGCAGATGATCTAAAAATTTACTATTATTGAATAAGTGACTGTTAGTGAATGGCATGCATATATCTACGGAGTATATGTACGCGGAGGTAGCGCATATGCTACTCGTGATGTGATTGATTGTGTTGAATACGACACAAACAATGTTGCTTTCAATTAATGGTCCGTTTAATCAATGATCTATGAATAATGGATTATTTCAGTGGCAAAGAGAAGAATAACGAAAAACAGCGAAAAAATATAACTTTATTAGATATGCCTGTGGGCGCTTTGTGACGTTGTATTGGATTTATGATTCACCGTTTTATCCTTTGAATTCTCCGATAGTTCCCTCTGTGTACCGGCGTACAAATTCAACCTTATTATTATATGTTGGCCAAGCGAATTAAACATGCTATTATTTGCGATCAAAAATCCCACGATCACTTGTAAGGTTTCGTTCTGTAAAGCAAAGTAAGTGAGCTAGCTAAACGATCTATTTGACCCAACTCATAACCGGCGATCTCTCATCTGTTGCACTACGCGAATGGGTACTTGTTTCTTGCACTACTAGTCTTATAAAGTATATTACGAAAAACAAGCGCCTGTACAGTATTCGATATATATAGCCATAGCGACTATTATTAATGATCAATCATTTTAATTTTGCAAAAAAAGAGCAAATTGTATAGACAGCAATGTACATATATATACGGAGGAGCTTTAACAGCATTGCGCTTACAATTGTGTGATCATCTACATGCATATATATATATATATATATATATATATATACATATATTATATACATGAGATAAAGAGAGATGGCCTAATAAGAAAAATATATTGATTGATCGGTTACGTCATTGACATACTGCTTGATACTGAATGAAAATAGCAATTGAGTGCACCGCTGCAGCACCACGCATAGATTACCAGTGCTGACACGGCTATTCGAAGCAGTGTGAAGAAAAGTGGCCCTAGGAACTAATTACATTAATTAACAGTTGAAGATATTATATAAGCAACTATCAAGAACTTTGAAAATCCAAAAGGAAGGACAAAAAACCGTAATGGCTGGCGTTAACCAATTTTCACATTGGAATGAATCATTAGCACGTTTCACGGTGAGTCCACCTAGAACGCCAGCACCAGCTTCCATGCTGAAGTAATCACTTTTAACCTTGCCATCCAAGTGTATGCATATGAGGCGGACAGCGAATGTTTGAGGCCGACTTCATACCTTTAGTAACCCCTTTCAGAAACTTGGTGAAAACATATCAATTTCTTCAAACTCTTTGGACTTTGGACGAATGAACTAAAATGAACACCTTTATTGACAAGTTTTCATCGCTAAAAAGATAAAAGAAATTTCTGTAAGGATTCCACAAATGACTCATAACTTTCACGTATTACAAAATTAAAAAAGGAAGGACTTTGCACCTCTCATCTATATGGTCTGCGCCTGTCGATCATATGCTCAACATAGATAAACGATATTGTGGAATAGTAGGGATATAGTTACGGAAGTACGCATTAGACAAGAAGTATGAATAGGATATAAAATGGGGTATACAAATACATCGGGAACAATAATAGACGATAATGAATAATAAGGAAATCTAAAGGTCCCGAAGAAGCGAACAAAAGTAATCATGGAGACGACCCGCTTTACGCCAAGATATCAGTTACATCTGTTATTACAACAATGTTATTTTAAGATAAAACGCACACCCTCTCAATAATAATAGCACACACCACTCTAAACACGATATACTGCTCATTAAGACATTAACCTCATAAACATTGCAGCAATGATTATTGTTACACTTTTAGTGTTTGCATGCTATATTATTATTATTCCTATTATCAGTATTATTTATTACCATTTTAAGCAAGACAAATCATATATTTCCTTTACTTCGACGAAGGCGTCTCAATGGGCTGAATACTGAACAGCGGAATGAGGCTATCAGCAAACTGCAAAAACAGACCGTGTATTGCGTAATAGTAGATATGTGGCATAAAAACTACACCTATATCATGTATAACCAACAATATATGTGTTATGTTACATCTGAAAGCCATTCATGGTTTTCGCAATATACTGTCGATAGAGAGGGGGTCAGCTGCGTACAGTTTCGTTGGTAAATATATTTCAATAATACCTTTTCGCATGACTGAGCTTTTCGTATTGTCGAGAATATTTTGGATGCAAGCTTTAACACGCTGTTTGGCTGGTCTAAAAAGCTGCGTGAGACTGAACAGATACTCAAAAAGTGAACATTAAAAAAAAAACTAACGGGAAAATGACTGGAGAAAACAATGTTTTTAATTTGTTCTGCGGGTATGGAGAAAGGAGGCAGAACGCCAGTGCTATGTAGAACCAGTGGCAGTACTAGCGATCCGCCTTTCGCAATCAAGAAAGAAACGATTAACGAAAAAAAAGGAAACACTTGAAAAGTATAACAGTCTTCAGCTAGATGTTTGTTACGTGCGAATTTTATGGGTGCCGTTAATTGTGTCTATGGATAGATATATATGATGATATTTAAATGAGTCTGATCTAATACCTGATAACAAACAGCCCCAGAAATATTGCAGTGCAAGAAGTATACTCACATGTTTATATCTGAGTACGAGTGGCAGGCAGGCTCGGTTTAGTAATGGCTATCACACGTAAGGATGCTGCAGCCGTTAGGGCCAAACCATACTATCATATACAAACGGATTCACAACAAAAGCTTATGGGTTAGTCTATAAGCATGCGTTGGCAAGTCTACATACGATTAGCTGGCACCAGTAACAGACACCTACGAACATCAGCAATGGCAAATGTAATTAAAATCTCACCATAAAACTTTTTGTTGCGTATCGTTAGTTTACGCATTATATAAAGGCTATATTAGTTATATGTAAGGACAGTGGAAGGTAAAGGCCTAAGTCTAAAATAGGCCTAAAATAAAGGCCTAAGTATAATATTAGAAATCATAATTACTATTTTGACTGAGCTTTTTTTTACACTCGTATCGCACAGCGAAAGTAGAACATGAATCAAAAGCACTTTACTCACGGGGCCACACGTAAACAGCGCTATAGCAAAACCATGTCAGAGCGATGTCACTGATTGAGTGACTAACGAAGTCAATATATAATATAATAGCGTATTACTTCACTATACGTTTATTAGCTAAATTCTTAATATGAGGAAAACAAGATAATAATGATAATGGGGCGTAAGTGATTGTGAAAATAATCATTTGCACTCTATTATCATAGGGATGAAAGGGTAGCATAGACATAAATCCGGAAATAAATAACCTCGTTGATAATTTTATACACCAAATTTGCAAGTACATAATGTCTTCACTTTTAAATAAGACTATCATTGAACAAAGTGACCTAGAATTATAATTAGTGATTTATAACAGTAGGAATGCACTCACGCAATACGTAGTCCTGATCATATATGATTATTACATTCGTAGGTGCAGTTTCTTGAAGTATCTGTTAGTTAAAAAAAAAAAATAGTAAAACTAGAGCCTTTATTGGCTTTCAGCCGGCGGAATTGTTCTTTTTTGGATAGAGAACCTGTATGGATAGCTCAGATGATTGTATGGGAAGCAAAGGTTTTAGGTAGCAACGTATCAACTTGACATTCTATTTTGCATAAGCACGGTTATCTATCTGCTGCCTGAAAAGTCATCTTAGTACGATAATTACATAGGAGACTGCACAGGTCTCGACATAAAAGAAAAATCTGACAAACTTGGGTTTTTGTTTATGCAATACCTATAACCTTAAGAAGCAAAAGTTTACGCGACGTAAGCTAAATAGATGCTTCTTTTAATTTTCAAGGCGTATCTTTAGGAAAGAACCTAAAACATAGGTTTCTTATCAGTTCCTTACATAGATAGCAGATATGCTGGTCCTGTACGTAAAACATAAATATAAAGCATGTAAAGGTAAAAGCGAATAACAGATGCCTCTGTCTACACACCTCGTACAAAATGAGCCAAACCGTATTTAGACGTAACTTCTGGACTCGCACCTAGGCCACCATGTGATTCTAATCTTAGCAGGCAAACACGTACATCATATCTGTCATTCTGTAGCAATATGCAATGTGGCATAAATAGTACGATAAATTTGTAACTTTAGGCGAGTTTAGTGAGTACCTAAGATTACCTATCCATTAACTCTCCTTGCCTCCGTTTCAGGCGGTAGCCTTTCAGTATATGATCACAAAAAATAAACAAACCATTTAGATTTTTTTGTAATAGTATTTTGTTTCTTAAAATATTAGGTGACTACATTTAGCCGATAACTTCAACATCTCCATCATGTTTTAACTGCAATAATTTACAATTAATTCCTTACTATAATCTTTTTTAACATTTGATTGATAGACAACTTTCGATTAAAAAAAAGCTCAATTTTCTAAGTATTTGTTTGTTTGTTGGAGAGTGTCTGGTGCATACCGAGTTCATTTAAGACTCGAAATACTAAAACGGTCTAATTTGAGGTATTGCACACAAAGGCAGTTCCGAAAACTACCAAGTGTGTTTAAATAGTCGCTAAATGTTGCATTTTTTTACAGCTAAAAATTGTAAGCTTGCTCATTTGTCAGCTCTGTTCCAACTACGGGTCTGTTTGCTTTAAACTTGAGTCTACTTTCGCTCCTTCCTTTTGTATATTAACTCTATATCTATATTGACCTAGTTTCCTTTATTTATCCAAATTATTCCCATTATGGCAGTTTGCCCAACTCGACGGGAAAAACTGCCTTGTATACATAAAATATATCAAGCTAAACGTGCAGATTGGAAAACAGATACAGCGTACCGCTGGCTACTTAAATCAGGTAAAATCTTGCATGCCCAAGACTACAAGGGTATTGTGTGCTCCTACGTGAAAGTAGAACATGCATCTTTGGATACTCATGAACTGCCCAAAATGCCAAATGTGAATAAGGCGCGATTATAAATATTCCAAAATATTTCATACTGTTCTAGACCAATACTTTTAATAAAAATTATTTTTTAAATAATTCACGTTCACATGTATATTTAGTCTTTTGTAAGCGCTTGTTACGTGTAAGTTATCTGTGGTGATATAGTGAATAAGAGAGAGGTTTGGAGAAATAGTTATTTGAAAGTGCCCGCCCTCGCGTAAGCTAAAAGTTACCGCCCAGCGGCGCATGTCAAGGAGATCAGTATGTGTCAGACAGCAAACCAGCAGTTATTCTAAGCTAAATGCGCTGTCAGCATCCAGCATTGTTGATAGTGCAATTCGTTGAGAAAATAAATCGGCTGCTAGGGACAGGCATCAAAGCTGGACAAGTAACAATATACATATATATTTTATTTACTATCACGTTAGTATACACGCTAATTGTAATGACTGTACGTATGTAATGAAATGCTCGTTTTTGTAAATTTTTATGATTCAAAGATTGTTAACCATATTCCTTACAAAAAGTCATAGCTCATCTTGGAATATAACATAATCACTAATATTACCTTCGATATGGATTAACTGTAATATGTCGAAAATTAATTTTCGGGATCGTTTTCTTGATTACTTTGCTCGTATGTATTCAGTTTATAATACTTGAAGACACAAAGTAACTAGTTTCGATGTTCTTGATTGAATCGTCATATCACTGTTGGAACCGAGCCTATTCAGAGCAGACTATAACAGGAACTGTAATGTATCTGCCCTTTGGAGCAATGAAATCTCACGAACGCCACCTAAGGATTGAGGCGCATACAACTCGAGAGAACACAATGAAGACGTAAAGAAAAGCACGCTCTTCTCTACGTCTTCGTAGACGTTCGTTGTATGCAATCAATAGAAACTTTTTTGAAGAAGCAATATATTAAGGCTCTCTCATATATACGTTTTAGAAAACGCAGTATGCCTATATTTCCATTTGCTTGAAGCGTCTAAACGAAATTAACTCTCACAAACAGTGATACTTTGTGCACTCATATCATTCACTGAAGCAAGTCAGCTTATCGGCACCTCTAAGTAACTGTTTCCATATGAGTTTTTCGTGTACTGGCATCGATCTCGTGTGCAACGATTAGAGACAAGGGGAGAAAACGTATAAGCGGGAACTTTTCGGGATGATTCTGTGCTGGTTTTTGACTGTGCCAACGGCATCGTAGGATCATACAATGTGGCTTTCATTCATTTTGTCTTCGTCTGCATAACGACTCTTGTGCTGTGCAGCGTGCGCTACCCGCTGAGTGACGGGGCTCACATGTGTGCATTGGACGAAATGCGTCCCACGTTAGCTTCAATATTATGTCTGCTTTTTTCCAAGCTGAAAACCTAATTCGCTGGAAGAATCCGTTTCTGACGCACTGCGAGGTTACAGTAACGGCCTTGGTAATAAAGAGTCGATTGACCATCTGTTCTGAAGTTTACTTTCAATGATTTAAATCGACGAAACGGGCAACCTCGAGTGCTTCAAATTGGCAGAATGGAAATGATGGTAAGTTCACGACGCTATTTTCGCTTCTTCGGGGCAAACAAATGAGACTTTCTGTTAAGCTTCAATGGGTTGTAGGCCATCTTGAACCCCCAATCGGAGGTACATGCATTCATCATAAAATGATTCTACTTCTCTTAAATAAAGAATGTCTAACCCAATAAAGCTTAGATTTGGTAGTAGAAGATAAAACCTGTAGTGAGCGTCACAACGGCTCATCATCAAAGATAACAACTATAGTAACACGCTATAGATGATTCTGTGTAGCACTATTGTATGTATATATATGTTATATATATATATATATATATATATATATATAAATATGTAACACTATATTGGTGATGTAGCAAGTACAATGTGGCGTTTATAGAAGTAGTTTTCGGAGACCACTGGAAAAGCAGTATTCGAGCTTATTTTTATCATCTAGAGGAACAGGCTGCCTAAAAACAATGTACCGTTAAAGCCAGTGTTGTTAGCTTTCCTAATAACACTAATGAGACTAAATAACAAAGGCAAATTGAAGACTGTAGTGTATTATGCTTTACAGAATGTATGTACAATACGTGCTGTTTTCAATTTCCCATGCAGGTGACGTAGGGACGAGAATTCTATAATAGGTGGACGCTTCCCGATCGGAGCGATGAGACTGCTTTGGAATTCACGATGCATTTTCAAACTTTTCCGCGCACTTCTTGGCTTTTACTGTGTACTGCCCGTTGCTTTCTACCTGTCTCCACAGTTACGGCGTATGCTTATATTCGGAACGTATATCATATGGCCATTCCATGACTACAGCAGACCAGAATCGTATGGCCTACCGCACGCTAAGAACTTCTACATCAACTCGGCATGTATCGCACTGTTCTAGTGATTACTAACGTTGTATATTAAAAAGGAGTCTTTGTTACCATGGGTGTCAGCAAAGGCGCCTCGTAAAGTTATGTTACATTTTTAAAATTGCGAAATTAAACTTCCGTGGTCCATAATCAGGTTTAAGATTAGGTTTCGCATCTTGATCTGCTGTAGATATAGTCATACTTATAACTATTATCGAATTTCCTCAGTTATATCATTTTGTACTTTAAAACTTAGAATGTGACTGTGTAATGGATCTTAACAAAAGCTTTTTTTGCGATACTTCGGTTTGTTTAGATAATTCAGTTTAGTTCAAACCTAGCTAATATTTCCTGCTGCCTTCCTGCAAACCTTCATGTTCGTATCTATTATTGTAGAATTAATATGTTATATATATATGGTCAAGGATGTAAAGAATAAAAGCTGCTACTTCAGGTGCAGCTACGGTATGAAAGCCCTGATCAGCAACCTTGGACGAACAGCGGTTCTTTACAGCCCGAATCCAACGACTTGGCATGCTAAACAGCGATTAAAGGAGAATCGGCCGGCGAAAGCAATCAGATTTATGTCGTATGAGGAGTAAATGACCACACACCGTGCCAAGTCGTTGGATTCGGGCTATGAAGACGTCATGATAGGCAAAAGTTCACGTCAGAGGACTCGTGCAGTTACCAGGAAGGACGCTAGCTGGCAGGCACTGTAGCAATAGGACGCAAAACTGCGAATGGCGCAACCGCACGCGAGGCATGGGGGAGTGTTGCGTGGACGCGGCTGGTAGCGATGGCCGAGTGTTACGATCAAAGATATAAATAATAAAAACGAATAGTTCGGACGCGGTTAGGGTATAAATGCAATAGCCGCTAGCTAATACCTTTACAGTTCCCGACCAACGGCCCAGTCCTTCTCGATATATACATGTAATAGTCATTATGTAATTACGCTATATAATCATAAGATTATGATATTCCAAGAATAATAATAATTTTATTTACGTTCGATTATTGATGCAATTGCACAGGTAGGTGATATCCGATTAGGCACGTGGTATATACCCCCTAAAGGCTTCTGGAAGCAACTAGAAAGGCATTCTAGTCGAGAGCCTGAGGCCTGGATGTTCCAAGATCGACGACCTGTTATAATCTACTATCATGGCCATGCCAACTGTCGAGCCTGTGACTACCGAATTGGATTATATAGGGCGCTTTCGCAGAGTGAAAAACTTGACGCCCATGTTTTTGCTATCGATTACCGAGGATTTGGAGATTCAACCAAAGTACGGGTGCAATTGAACTCTTTGTTACAAGAATTAAAACAAATTTACACAACGCAAACATCTATGATTTCAGGCTTATCATGCGAGGAGCGCTGCCATTGCAGTAATTATTTTATGCCTTATATTGTTTAATATGTATAATATTCATAAAAAAAACAATGCGCGTTTTCCGAATTTAGCTTCTTCCAGATCGTGAGGGAGTACTGCATGACGCGACTGTGGCTTTTGACTACGTCCGAAAACTGTTAAAAAATGACGAGTCGCGTATTCTTATCTGGGGGCATTCTCTAGGTACAGCTGTAGTCATGCAGCTTGCAGAGGCTTTCACCGAATTAAAACGAAATCCAATGGGAGTTATACTGGAAGCTCCGTTCAACTCGCTTGTCGAGGCTTCTTTAGAGTGGCCGTTGGGAAAGCCCTACAAGTACTTCCCTGGTAAGACCAAACGCTTTATATTTTGTATCTGCAATATAATCAACACATAAGCTTTTTCTATGAGAATAAAATATTTTAGAATTTTTTAAATGACTGATAGACGAAAAGAGGTGATACAGGCTAGCTAAATCATTTCTTCAAAAGTTTAACCTTTTTTGTACCGAAATATGCCGAAGATATTTATTAATTTGGAATCGTATATGATTTCTCCGTCACAAAATATCTACCTCAATCTGTTTGAATAACCAAATCTTCAATGGTATGCTCTCTTCGGTGCTTGAACATTTACTGATTATAACTCATGTACATACATTATATATGTCTACTGTGATCTGGCTTCTTCCCACATAATTTAAGTTTAAGGTTTTCGCTAAGACGCCAGCGTGGAAATGCGTTTTAAAATGTTAATATCTATACTAGATGTTTTTTCTGCTTTTTTTTTTCATTCATTGAATGGTGCTCCAATTTTATCCTCCAGTCCGATTTTTTGTTTTAGTAAAAACTGAATTGCGTCTCGCATACTTAGTTATTTACAAGGTCATAGATAGTTTCTTCTATCGATTCGCAGGGATTTCAACGATATTCGGCACGCTTCGTGATGATGACGAGACGTTCTTCGAGTCGGAACAACTTGCGGGATCAGTTCGTTTGCCTATGCTCATTATGCACTCCCCTGATGATGCCTTAGTACCCTATTCTCTTGGCGTAAAATTATTTGAGCGTCTTCGAGTTTTGTGCCCCGTGCAGCCACGATTCTATAAAGTAAACGACACATACGGGCCCGGCCATCGCTATATTCATCTTGACCCAGGAGTGCAGTCTGCGGTCGCAGATTTTATTCAGTCATTTAATAAACCTGTACCTGATAAACGAGCGGATCGAATAATTACAAAACTACAAACGCCTGAAGAAATATTAACTCACGATTTTAGCGGAGACGAAACTGGCCTTGGGGCTTCTACAGAGACCGGCTCAACGCCATTAACATACAAATAGCGATAACTGTGGATCGAAACGCGAAACTGTTTTAGCTACGCAACTTAATGTGACAGTAGAATTTAAAGCTAAATACTAATCAAATAAGTGATCCAGGGAGAAGCTTACAGATATAGATGAAAATACGTCTACAACGCTCTAAAGCTCTGGACTGAGTGCTGAGCTCTGCAGGTAGTACGCTTCTAGCATATAAAGTAAAGGTAATCTTATTTGTATCCCATCGAAATATTTTATAGTGAATTAATCGTTGAACATACAGGTATTTACAGTTATGAGCTTTTAAAAGGGGAGAAGACCGAAGTAGCGACATTTGACAACTGTTGAAGGCACGGAGATAGGTATGCAGACAGACTGCATCAGAAGACTAAACGACTTTTAGGTGGAAACTGAGTAACGTTGAGGCTGTTAACTTCATCATTTGGTTCAATGCGTCGACCGAATCGCTATGTTAGTCATCTTCAAACGTACATTTTCCTTTTATCAAAGCATTTGTGTGCAAGATGGACCCAAAACTTTGGGGTGCAAGACTGTGGATGGGGGTACAGTCGTACATAGTGTGTAACATTGTGTGGCTTATTTATCAAAATAAAAATATCACTTCGTAATAGACCTTTTTTCAGTTAAATACATCCTAATCGACAAGTAATTTTTAGACCACTTATTTTAAGCGGTCGTGTTTTATTGTGTTCACAATGAACTCACTTGTATAACAAGAGAATTATAAGTAATTGTGGGGATCATTTTATCGAGAATCTGTAGCTAATATATGAAATAAAATGGCTAGTAGACGCAACTATGATTAGATGAGTACTCGATCGGGTCGAGTAGAAAATAGCGTCTTGCTCGTAATTTTTTTTTACTCGTAATTCTTTCAATGAAAAGCTTATGAGTACGTAGTGATAGTGACGTATACAGGGAAAATGGAGCTTTGTAAAATTACTGCGAAATCGTGTGCACCAGAACAAGCCAGATCCTTCGAACGCTCCTAAAATAGCATTAACGATTTTACTAATATCGGCTTTCTTGAGAAACGTTTTGATAATATCTTAGACTATTTACCAAATACTGTCTCCTAATAGTGATTACTTTAAGATATATTTTCATTTTTCAGCTCCGTAAATAATTTCGGTCAGTCTCTCACGAGCCTATGCGTTGCTGCTCCGCTTACAATAGAATGAGGCCCCCGGTATCGACGTTGCAACTTTTTGGATAGTTCCAGCGTTTTCAGTGCAACTCTGCCGGCACGTTTTTATCATTTTCGATTTTCTCTAGGGCGGACTTTTGTTGCCTGAATCCCGTTTTCGGCTGCCGATACCAGAATCGAATCCGTGCTCATACTCGTGCAACTATTCGCGCTATACGGCACGGTAACTGAAAAACAATTTAAACGGCAACCCGTTTATGGATCTGTAAGATGAAAAGGCACCTATGGTAGCAGCTTCTGGTCGTTCATAAATCAAAGCGAGAAACTAATTATGGCGAAAAACAGCGCGTCGTCCTCAGAATTTGAGCGAAGATTAGTTGTTACTCAAATTTTTCGCGCTGAACGAACACGAATTTTTTGCTCAGACTCGATTGCCTGCGTTACTGCGACCTACGAAAAGCCAAAAAAAAGACTTTCATGAAGTAACCCGCAAGATCCGCAGTAGGGCTTAGATTTAGATGGCTTGAAAACGTATCAAGCAGGCTCAAAAAGCCATCTATCGTACACCTAAACTTCGAGATACACAAATTATTCGCCGGTTTAAAGAGAAGAATATTAATTTCCGATAGGGCCGTCTGTATGGGCTCTAATGGTAAAATTTTTTGAGCCTTTTTGCACCTTTTACACTTGTTGGCAGTTTCTGGCTTCTGTATTTCTAATATTGTTAGCCTGTTTTAATGTAACACACTTCAGCGATCCGACTTTATCAGAAAGTCTTCTTTTCTAAGGTTCAACACAAGGAAACTGATGCGTATTCGTAAATTTGTTATAATTATTATACTCACGGTTATTTACGAATTAACAAATATTTTAAAAATTATTCGTGAGCAGTTTAGGCCCTGAGTTGGACAAACATACCCATCAGAAACAGCACCTTTTATCGAACGTGAAAAAGTTAGGTGAACCATTTATCTTTACTTAATTATTAAAATAAATTTATCAGTAACGTTGGGTATTTTTTTGAAGAAATCTTTTGTCAACAGAGATATATAACCTAATAGTTAACTAGCGAGTAGTATTGTTTTCATTGCCAAAATTTTGCGATTAAAGGTATCTGAGAGATATATTGTTGAAGTATCACATTAAGACGAAGCTGGACATTTTCCTGGAGTTTAGGTATTACCGACGAGTTATTATGCAAAGCAACACATAAATAGGCTCACAGTTATGAAAGACGTGATGCACAAGTTTAGAAAGAACTGACACGTTTTTTCCTTTTATAGATTTCTATTTTATAACTTTATTTACCTTACCTTTGTCTCCAACAAAACGTTTCAAATTGAGGTAGTTGGTTAGAACGAAAACCCTACGCCATGCTGCTTTCCGGAAATAAACAGGAGACAGAAATGCGAGGGTAACGCTCGACACAAGAACCATAGGCAACATCATGGACCGACACACCTTTTATGTAGCTCCGACAAATTTCTTCAATTGAAAATGTCTTGTCGATTACAATATTCGCCAGAATAAGCACACTTAAGAAAAATATGAAATCTCAAGTTGTGTACGAAATGCTTTTGGCTTAGAAGAACTGATTTAAGTTGAAAGTCTAAATACGGCTGTGCGGCAAGACAAAGACAATTTCGAAAGCTGTTTAAGAAACAAAACATTGTCCAGTATACTTTGGCCACTACTAACTACTGCAACTAATGAAATACCACGTCACTAAAAAAGTTCGAGTGATCCAGCGAAACAACTGACCTCATCTGTTGTTTTCGTGCATGCCATCGTTTACCATACAAAATGTCATTGTTTTATGTCAACTTGGACAACTTGAGATACGTTTCGTAGCTACGTTCACGTAACAGCGCCAGGTAGAGACTACGATATCACATTCACACGCTCAATGACACACACTGCTCTTTTGGTGATGCTCAAATATTGTCGGTTTTATATGGTAGAGGCGGGCTTTACTAGACGCTGCTAAAGTCACACGGTCGAGACCGCATAGCTTCGACTTCTATGGGCAGATACGTCGGTACTTCATGGTACCACGGGGAATAGTGATTAGCAGGTTTAAAGCAAACACCTGAATGTAGCACTAGCTGCAAAATGTAACTTATCTTGGAACAGATAGATGGCTTCGACGGACACCAGCAAAACTACAATGGGCTGAAGGTGGACAAGCTATGAACGGCATATCATAGTTCAAGGAGCAAGTTCATCAAACTATGAAAATTCCGCGCGAAAAGCGCGCAGTCATCGCAATTTCTAGTGGTCGGGCAACAGGTTTGAGTACAACCCATGGATGCTTTATCGAAAACATCAAGAATCTGTACAGCAACGGGTATTAAATAATTGGAAATATACGACGCTTTATTGTGATCGTTAGCACAAGTGATAGAGCGAATAATTCTCAACGCCTGTATCTGTAGCAAGCATCATCTTAACAGTACCAAATAGTCCGCAACCCAGCAGTGCATCGACCCCAACGATGCATCAGAAGAGCGAGCCAGAGATGAACTTACTCACTGAAAATCGTGCCGGCTCACAGATGACGACGATAGGGACTCAAACATGGCCGAGAGTTGACAAAGCACAACGGAAAAATCATAAAACAAGTCGACCATCACTTGTTGGTCACTCGCAAATCGCAAAAAATCCTAATGTCACCACCATTCGCGAACGTACGAGATGGCCACCTGGTGACAATGAAAACAACGCCAATCGCTCAGCTGAGATATCCAACTAGGGCGAACGCAGCGCAGCAGCGATCACGTATTTTCAACTCAAAAACCGCGTTACCAGGTGGAGAAACACACATAGTTAAATCCGTTTTTTCCCCAGCTAGCGAAAAATGCGCCATCATTCTTTATGACTGACCTTCTTGCATTTCTCGCTTAAATCGTTTCTTCTGTCTTGCCAGGAATGTTCCGGCCAACTCTTAAAAAATTTGCAGCTAGTTTTTGAGATCCTCCTCGTTGCCAAATGAACTACTACGAATTTCATTCTCGAATAATTAATAACGATGGTAATTTTTCACCCTGAAATCTGTAGAGTGGTGGGTACAAAAGAATCTCTCACCCAATGCGACTTTAACGGGTGTAACATATATAAACTGGCGTCGTCATAAAGATGACCTGGTCCTCTTCATCTAGTGTTTTCTGATGGATAGTTTCGTTCTTTCGGGACAAGTGATATATAGACCCTCATTGACAGTCCATCCTGTTTCAAACATTTTCTAGTGTCCAAGGCCTTTTCGGCTTTTCCAAATGCAACTTGTGGGCGTTTTAGGGCGACGATCTAGCTCAACTATGGGCTTAGACATATGTCTCGAAGTTCACCTTCCCTTCTCTGCTTCACATTGACATAGCGACGTCATATCTTAAAACAACAACAATTCTATGTAAAAGCTTGCAATTGTGACTTTACGCTGCTTAATGCCGGGCGAGTTGTTGAGAGACAATGAGAAGTTATGTTTGCCAGTACCCTTTGCTTAGTCTATGCGGCACCTAGGCTGCCAATTTTTAAGCAAATCCCATAGAAGTAAGGTGTCTGTGGATGTGTTTATTACTGCGGTTTATCTTTTGAGCTAATTCAAGGATTGCTGATCGGCCATATTTCTTTACGAATGCCTCAAAATGGTCCCCATCGACCTCGGGTAGCCGACCGGAGAGGTGCATTTTGCAGTTTCAAGGTAGCGTTATTGGGCGACACAACCTACTTTTGAGCAATCTGCTTGAGCATGCGATCCACACGACAGACGTCCGCGCTGCGTCAGCAAACTTGGCCTCGACAAACGCCAAAGAGAGCAGGTACCGAAAACGCACGTTTGTTCACAAGGGTCACCCGTCTTTAGAACCCGAACTCCATGAAGAATTCCATTCATTGCCCAATAAACTTACAACAGCTTATGAAGGAAAGATAGCATTACTGAACGGTAAAGAAACAACCAAAGGAAAAGAAAACGTTTGAAAATTATTACTTATGCAACAGCCTAATACAATTATAAATAACAAAATAATACGTAACATTCAAGAAACAAATAAGTCATCCACATTTTTACATATGAATGAAAGCACTAAACATTTTCAAGTGTACCTGCAGTTTTGGCCTAAAAATGCCTTATTTGATAATGCAGCCACAATGGCAATTGGTAAAAATTCGGGATGCTGGAATCCGCTACAACATTGCCAGGTGCATAGCGGATAACATTTTTTTTTACCATTCTGATAACCCGTTGTAAACATCAGATGTATAATGAACTTGACCTGTAACATCATTCATCCTAATGTAGTGAAAGAGAAAAAAGTTACAGGAAATTGTTATTTCAAAATACATACTTACGGTCGCCACCCACGGACCATCGCCCAATGTCGTATGTCGCGCAATGGGCCGTCGGTAGGAAATGAAACTGACAGCTACCCTACGACTCTTTCTTTGTTAATACCGATCATGTTTTTTTACCAGTTTATGTTTACACCATGCCTATAAATACCAATTCTTGAATGCAGTTACGTATAACTAATACGCCGTAGAACTTTGCCAGCCCATCTTAAAGGATCAAATTAGTGCAACTTAGGCTTTCGTTCAATGTAGACTCAAAGACAGAGTTGTTATACAAGTGAACAACTAAGTGTTGATGCCAAAGATTATGATTTGTGTAAAGTACTATTTCGAAAGATTTTGTGTGAAAGAAACAGCTTAGACGTTTTCAGCGTAAGTGAAATGCGTACGACGTTAATGTACAGCAGATTATAATAATAACTGTATTATAAATACAATATAAGCTATAAGTGCTATAAGACACTGTGGCTGTTAACTCAATGAGCTGGAGTGTCGTTGTTAGGCCAAACGCACCTTGTACGGCAAATCGCATCTTCCGGTTCAACTGGCCCTCAAGGGATTGCATCATTTATTTAGGTCTTGGTTTTCTAGATCCGCCTGAAATGCCATTGCGCTGGTATTCGAACCTAGTAAACTTTCGCGAAACAATATCAGAATTCTTAAAAAAAACTACTGTGTAGTTACACCATACATAATGGTTTAGAAGTTTGTTGTAAGTTCTGTTGCCTGATGTCGAAATGCGGAGTTAGCTATATTTATCAACTTATCTCGAAATTGTAAGCTTACTTGTTTCTCATACCTATCTTTTGAGGAAGTATACTGACTAAATTAATTGCATTAGACTTAATCATAAAATAGTCGGGGTAGTATCAAAGCAGGATCAGGGTCAGAGGCAGGTATATGGCAAGCTTATAGTTGTTGGCTGGAAGAGATCCAGACGGGCGTGCTGCTGCGTGGCGGTACTGATTTTGGCAACAGGAAGGTGCTTGAATATTCGTTCAAAATATATACAGCTGAAATGAAAGCCCATAATCCGATAGTGCCAAAATCCAATTGCAAGCTGAGCGGCGGTGCATAACATCAAGATGAAGCTGGTGGCATATCGCTAAAACTTGTCCTTACACCTATGGGTGAGCTAGTAAGACTTTTCCAAGTTGTAAGATATTTCGAAACCCCGTTCGTCGTTTGAACATATGTTTCGGATTCTCTGTTCTGTAAAATATAACACGTTTAATCTAATAATATTTACGAAACTATGATGAGTCTTACAATTGCTTATTATAAGGAATAAGTTTAATAAGAGCTCTATAATAAATATTATGTGCTATAATAATAATAAATGCTCGATATACACGTCACATATCGTTTGAACTCTGCTGATAAGCCCACAGGCCCAATGTGACGCTGGCAATCAAGATTATAGTCGTTGTTCTAGTCTGCACGGAAAACAGTATGTTTCCTTTACTGCCCACAACATCTGTCCGGAACTTTAGTTCACTGCCCTCAGTTCATCCGGAACTGTCTTAGTTCAAGCCACGCGTGTGTACATCTTTTTTTCATTTGCGCAGATAACGTAGTAACAGAAGTTCCATGACACAGAGCTATTCCCTAATCCGAATGGTGAGACGGCGCCGGACCTTGCAAACAATCTTATGGCTACTGCTCATCCTCCTGAGCGCTTACTCTGTGATCCCTACTGCCTTCTACTTATCATCATTAGTACGGCGTACGCTCATATTCGGCACGTTTGTCGTTTGGCCATCCCACGACTACAGCAAACCAGAACTGTATGGCCCACCACACGCCAAGAATTTCTACATCAAGTCGGTACGTTTCATATCATCATGAGTAATTATCCTGCCTGATAGCAAAAGAGCTTCTGTTTCCGTCGGCATTAGCGAAAACGCCTTTTAGGTGTATGTTAGGTTTTCCAAACTATTGTAGCAGAGCTGAGGGATTGTTCAAAAGTGTCAAACAACAAATTCAAGTAAGTAAGACTCGAGGTTTGTTTTAAAATGTTTTTTCCTGTTCTGTCTCTTTTTTCGCCACGCTATACCCACACTGATCATCTTAATTGACCAGAGAGTGAATTTTATTCGTTATGAGATATGAATCGAGCTTGGATGTCTAGAGTGAGCTATATTTTTGTTAACAAACATTCATATGTACGCACCACGTACGATACTATACTACTCTGGGAGAAATAATTTAGTTGACTTCTTGTCATTGGTACAATTGTGCAGGTGGGTGATACCCGTCTAGGCACGTGGTATATACCTCCTAAAGGCTTCTGGAAGCAACTAGAAAATTGTTCGAGTCTGGCGCCTGGGTCATGGATGTTCCTGGATAAGCGAGCTGTCATCATCTACTATTATGGCTTTGGTGCCTGTCGAGCTTGTGACTATCGACTGGAACTATATAAGACACTTTATCAAAGTGAAAGAATTTACGCCCATGTTTTCGCTGTCGATTACCGAGGATTTGGAGATTCGACTAAGGTGCGGCGATGCTGATTCGTTCATGTTAAAATGAAAACGAATTTGAACATCGTTGTGCCTTTTGACTAACATCTGAGCAGCATTGGCCGTTACAATGTTATTATTAAACGTATCCATTGCACATTATTTCCATTAGGAGTAATGTGCGCCTTATACATCTAGCTTCTTCCAGATCGTAAAGGACTACTGCATGACGCGACCGTGACCATTTACTACGTCCGAAGGTTGTTGAAAGACAATGAGTCGCGCATTCTTATCTGGGGGCATTCTCTTGGCACTGCTATAGTGATGCAGCTCGCAGAAGCATTAACCAAGTTAAAACAAAGCCCCATGGGAATCTCCGTTCAACTCGATCGTTGAGGCCTCTTTGGACTTTCCCATTGGAAAGCCCTATAAATATCTCCCTGGTAAATTCAGTGCTTGATATGTTATATTTTACCGTATGGTTTGGACGCCATTGAATCTTTCCGCGACAGTAGATATTTTGCGATTCTCCAAGTGACAATTAAACAATAACAGGCGATGTGACATGAAAGCTAACTAAGATATTTCCCTTAAAAGGTGAACCTTTCAGATGTCGATCGCATCTTATTAACCTTTGTGAAACTCTGCAAAATGCATAAGGAAGTTACATTTTTAGCTCCTCTAAATATAAGACTTGTCCATAATATAATATTCTTAGTATTTGGACGTTTGCGGATCACTACAGTTGACGTACATTTTTCACATGTCTTCTACGATTTCGTTTACACCCACAAAATCAAACATGACTGAGGTATGGCCTTTGCCCAGATATTTTGTTCCTATTATTTTCTGGTTTTTCAAAATGTAACATCGTTTTTTTTTCGTTGGAAAAATTTTACTCCACTCAACTCGTCTATGTTTGGTTTATGAGCAGCGACTGTATTGTGTCTCGCGGTGAGCAGGGATTTCAATGATACTCGATACGCTTCGAAAAGATGACGACACGTTTTTTGAATCAGACCAACTTGTGGAATCGGTTCGTTTGCCTGTTCTTGTCATGCACTCTCCCGATGACGCCATAGTGCCTTATTCCCTTGGCGTCAAGTTATTCGAGCGCCTTCAAACCCTATGCCCTGTGAAGCCACACTTCTATAAAGCCTTGGCTTGGGCCACCGCTATATCCCACTTGGCCCAGAAATGCAGTCTGTAGTTGCAAATTTTATTCGATCACTTGGCAAAGCGGATGTACCTGAGCCTGTTAAAGAGCGCGAGCGAAGTGCCGACAAACATTAGCGGCCGGTTTTTTTTTAAAAAAAAGCAGTAGTGCTCGAATTCAATAATAATCATAATGATAATAATAATAATAAGTTGTAGATTAAAATGTAGAGTATTTTAAACTCCTAGTTCTAAAGTTTCCTAAAAATAGTTCGACTGACTATCTACAACAACGTATCTAAAATGAAGAATTTGAAAAGAAGCTGACATGAATAGATCGGAATCTTAGAATGGGCTTCGTAGTTCTGCAAGCTTATAACGCTTTTTAATATAATAAAGAAGAGATATAAGCGAATTGAAAAATACGATATAGAAATTATCTGTTTTCCATTTAACGCTATACGTATATAGAACTGGTTCACATTTGTATAAAGTTCTAATCCTTGCAATACATTAACTAACAATTTCACTACTATATTGCAACTACAGTATTTATTGCGGCGGTTTATAGCAGAGAGAGCTTCTCGGGTTGATAGGTTTACCGAGTCTGTGTGGATGCATTTTTCGGGAATCTATTGGTATAATTTCATTATCAGGAAGGACCTCATAGAAGGACAATCCTAGCATACAACTGAACGCTGAGCTCTGTAAAAAGTTCATCTACACTCCAGTGAGCAAGATATCATATCAGAGGCACACGAAACGAGTGAAATGCACCAACGGAATGAGGGCGTTGAGATCATTAGACCGTTTCAACGGTAAAATAGGACTAGCTCCAAAAGGGTAAGAGCTTGGAGTTAGGCAACGCTTTAGACCAACGCGGTACGCACTGTCAAATGTTTAGTTCCGACGTATAGGGGGAATGAGAATCACCTTAGATTATAGTGACATTTTTAAGGTCGAAATTAGTTGATATATTTCTCCCAGTCGCGTGTAGTATGTCTGCAGTGTTGTAGTCTAACAGGACCTTTGAGAAGATGGCGACAAAATTACCATAATGGGATCATTCTCCCAGGACAGCCAGTTACTAGAACCTTACACCAACGAGTTACAGACACAAGGTAAGGAATGATCTTTTCTAAGCAAATAATTTTAACAAAATAATGGATAATTTGTTTTCTTATCAGAGTTTTATGCAGTGCTCAGGTGGTGGATAAGCTACTATTGTTAGTTACTTTCCGATTTTAAAGATAGGTATTTTTCGATAGCGGGTGCGTCCCCTGACCTGACTTGTTCACTTCTGGGCAGGCGTCTGCAAGCGAGCATGACGGGTTCAGCCAGATGATCCAAAATTAATCGATATCTACACTAGTGACAGCTGGTTAACACCGAACGCTGTTGATCTCCTGTCTGTTAGTCAAGGGAATGGGGAACAAGTCGTTATAATAGACACCCGAACTTCTTTAAACTTGCAGCGCCTCATACTTTGCAAGAAAACAGTCACATGAGCGTCTAGTTGAATGTAAGGGTATATATCAAGAAGAAACGTTATAATATTAGAGTGTATTAAAAATCTGACCCCGCGGTACTAACACTTAAGTTTGACGGTACGGCACGGCACGCGTAAAAAAAATTAGAGCGTGATCGTGAGACAGAAAGAGATGCGTTCGCCATCTTCAAAACTTGCCAGTGTACCATAAGGAGAACTATACTGAGCGTTTTTGTATTCAAGGAACGGAAAAATCTCTAAGTCTGTATTACGAATTATGTAATGTATGTTGCGCGATACTCCAAACGTTTCGTACATCGCGACATTCGATACCGTGATTTCGGCGTTCCTGCGAGAGCTCTGCTTTGTGACTCATATAGGCTCAGACTTCCCTGAAAACACAATTTGAAATTCTGCATTTCGATAGCAGTAACAATGATTACTTTAAGTAAATATTCTTTGAGAGTTCCTGGTCATGGCGAACTGGATGTCTATTTAAAAAGTCAAGAATTTTCTGAAGTAGATAGAGTAAGATATAGTGGTGGGAAAACTCTCACATTTTAGGATAGATCTAGGAAGATAACCCTTACATATGATGTATTATAATTGTATATTTAATGGATTAGCTATTGTTTTAACCGTTATAATGATAGACCTTCTACAAATATTCTAAAATTACGTTGCAATTAATCATGCGGTTACGCCGTTACTTTTTTTCCAAAGGACAAATGTCACTACGTTAGATAGATCTCTTACTAGCTTTGTCATAATAGCATATTCACCACTTTCAGATAAAGGGACTCTATTAAAATACTGCGATTTAACGAACAAGGCTGTACAAACAAGTTGATAAAATATTTTTGTTACTTACATTCATCTAATTCTACTGGATCGCAAATTATCGCAGACGTCCAGCGCCATGGCCAGAGAATATATTACTTTTTGGCGTCTACTTCACCGCTACGTTTTCTTCTGTTATACTTTTTATAGCTTACACGTTTTACAAAGGGAATCAGTGGGTCCTCTTTTTTATAGATTAGAAATAGCATAAATAAATACTAGCCTTTCCATGTTTTGAGTGTCACGTCCGGTATGGCCGTTAGACGTTCCATCAGACAGCTGGCTCCCGCACGAAACAAGGTGTATCTATAACCGTACTCGAATTTAGGGCCCAACGTGTCCCTGAGATTTACAGGGAAGCTCATTACTCACTAACCTATAAAAACGCATGTGAAAGTAGCGCAGGCACAACAGTCATTGAGTGCATCGGCTATCGCTACATATTATGTTTTTCCAGGAAAATTGCAAACGCTTGACAACAACAATGAGCGACCCAGGCTTTGTTAGCCCGTCTATAGGTATTTGTGTGCTTCTCTCTGTTTTTCAAGAAAAATAAGAAAATGTATATGTTTGAAAGTGCACTGCGTAGACCCGGGGTCGGAAAGGAAGGCAATGGTCCCGCTAGTGCTCGTGGTCAATAATCTTAGGGCCCTTCCGATCAATTAGTTTCGCGTAAAGTGTCGACATGCCGCTTGACTGCTGATTGTCGGCCGCCAGTAAACATCGTCTATCTAAAATGTGGCGCACCATTGCTGGTGTCCTTAATGACAATCGTGATTCTGTTGTTGTCCTTACTGCTACTGTGCCGATAATTCCGCGCTTCCAACGTGATTCATCTTTGAGGGGACGGCGCGCCTGCCTAATTGTTGTTGCGCATGTGTTTCATAAGGGACGTTGTGAGCGAACATAAAGCTGCTACCGTCGCTAGTGTGTCCCGACTTTCATCCGCACATGTAGCTAACTCTACTATGTAATATTGGACGCCACACTTGTACGCACTTCTTACTCATTATGGGTGATTTGTTTCGATAGCCTTTATGAGGAGTTACTACATGCGAACGTAGTAATGAGCAATGGCGTTAGCCGCGAATCTAATTCCTAATTCCCGACCGACAAGAAAAGACTAGCAAAAAGATTTTTTACATTTGTTTATTACACCATCAACTGAACATTAGCGCTCGCAGGAAATGCGACTGCAGACGCAGCTATCACTACAGCCTTCCCATAATGGGACCATTTCTGAACAAGATCGAGACGCTGGGTAAAAGTAAGTTACTGACGCCCCTTACTGCGTTCTCAAAGCGCTGCCTGTGCGGCAACCTCCACCGGTCAAACTAGCAGTGCTTCCATTCAGATACTACAATATAAAGATTTCGTGTAGTACACTTCCCTCATCTTATGGGCTTTTTCTTGCAAAAAGTGGCGAATTTATAGTTGGTCTCCTCGTGCTAAGGATATTAATGATAGAAGATAGTGTCTATTAACTGAGATGAACTTTTAGTTAATAATTTCATTAAAAAGATTTCCTTGAAGAAAGACCGGACTCGTATCCAACATCGTTACATGAAGAGAAAACAGAGCAGCTTGATTTGCGTACGGAGTCCTAAAATTTATACGGTGAAAAGCCTATACTCTGGACAAACGTACTGCAAAATATAAATCAGCTTATAAAAAAAAAGGTCCTGTTGAAGATTTCTTTGCCGAGCATTGACAAAAACATTTATTCAGGTTTTTCTGAAACGTATCAAAAACCCTTGTGTTAGGCCAAACTCCCATTACTCGTATTGTGCCCTTGGACATAACGACGGGGCGTCGAAATGGGTTCAGAGGAAAGGGCTCTTACTGACGCTCAAATAGCACGCGCCGTCGTAAAAAATAGTTTTCTCTGTTTCATTTTTCAGCAATTCAAAGTCGAATGTCCGTCGAAAAGTGCGTAAATTGAAAACATCCTCATTTGATGCTACTCATTTATACGTATCTGTTAAAAGTAAAACAATTGTTTGTAATAGAAAACAATAGCAATTTTTTTTTCGTAACTTGTAATGCCACAGTAGGACGCGTCGTAAATTGGCCAAATTGTTCAATTCATCTGTGGACATAATTAATAATTGTGGATTAAATGCGTATGCTGAAGAAACAAGACGGATTTGAGTAGGCTGCAGGTAAATTACTCGTCGTGTGAACTGATCGCTCACTTGAGATAGTAAACGGATTTGCTATTAGGGTAATACGAAAAAATGACTCGCTCAGGCCTTGCTGACGGCAACGATTGCCAATGGGACACACGTTTTTTTGTCTAACTAGCTCCCATATTAGGACAGTGTGTGGCACCTCGTATTTATACTGCCACGATTGTTTTTAGTGTGTCATTAGAAGAAATATTCCTTTGCTGAACACTACTTCTGAGACGTTATTTCTGCGTTAGACAATTCAACGTTAAAACTTCAACGCCACCTTGATTGGGACCCTGTTGTTATCTCCCGATCGTCAGGCGTTGCGTTCATGTTGCACGTGCATTTCGCCCGGTACTATTCTCTCTTCGTCGTGTGTGACGCTTGAAAAATCATAAAGGTCTGCCTTCCAAATGTTTAATGCCTTATCTCAGTTATACAGGATGATTTAAAACAAGACTTTGTTGCCTCTGTCATAGGTCGCATACTATTTTTTTTCTTTGTATTCTAATTAGAATTATTTAAAGTTCTATCTCTATTACATTCGTGATATATGATGGTAGAACAGGGTTTTAGCGTCTTCAGCAGAGCCTGCGCTCGTGTATTCTTCTGTGGTCTCTCTCTTCAGTAAAGTCAACAGAGCGTCGGCAAAACACAAACAGCTTGCATCAAAGTTGTTAATTACGTCTCAGCCTAGAGCTCTAGTCAGACTTTAATTATTCAAGTTATTTTACTCCGATGCTCCATTACGCGCACGTTAGCCCTTGACATCGGAGCCGTCTTTCGATCGGATTTCGCCCGCGTTGCAAGCGCAATTGCATTTTATCTGATCAAAATGCCCCAACAGCGAGCTATCCGCAAGTTCCAATGAATCTAATGCTGCTGGATTATATTTAGCTACTGCTTTTAAGTGAAACATAAACATCACAAGTAAAACTAGGAGGTTTTGTTACAATCGGTAGTTTCATATGTACGATACGCTAGACTCCAAAACAACCGTTACTACTGTGAAAAATAATCCGAACCCGGTTGCAATGACGAACGGTACATACTGGAGTGTTTTCAATCGTTCGTTAAGGCGCACGTTGGATAGTTGTGTTCATGAAGGACGTCTTAACCGGAGGCGTACATTCCCCCATGCATATAGTGTGGCGGTGACATATGTTTGTTCTGTGCAAGGCGGCGTCGTGGACTCCTTTTTGGGATAAAATTGGCTTGAGTTCCAAAGAGATTAGAATCATTATGAACAACGTATGACTACACGGCTACATTACATGGCCTTTTTACAGCTTACCCTTTAAATAGGTCATTGTAGAAGACTTCAATGTCTGATTAACTTCAAATTGAGTTCTAATTTCTAATGTTTGTAAGAAGTTAGCGGCATGAAATGTTCGGAGAAGATCTTGAAGGAGGAAGCCCTTTACCTAGAATCGCATCTGTTTTAATTTAAGCTAATCAAAGGCGTTGCGTTCAAACTGCGTTGTAGAACGTACGATCATACTCGTCTATTTGAGAACGTTACCGTCTCAAGGCGAGGTATTAACCTCGAGCTTGCCATTGTTTTTTCATTTTATTAACGTATGTTAATTGTACGGACCTTTATATAAATAGGCACACAGCAACATGGATCAAAACATTGCTTCGTATAGGAAAAGCGCGCCGTTCATTATTGTTTTTGTTAAATATCATCACATTTTTTCTTGAAGGATTTTTGCAACTTTATGTAAAGGGATAATGTTTTTTTCACTTAGTTTAGCACTGAAATTTTATTGTCGTTAATTAAAAGGGTTAGCAGCGGTAACTATAATGGTATAGTGGCAAGGATAGCCGGTGAAACGAAGGCAGCATTCCATTCAGATCATAACAATTTGTCCGTCAAATGCCTATCGGTCAGACTATTGGTGAGCCAACATGGAACTAGATGCTTCTATATGAAGTTAAAGTTCTGCATGCTTGAATAGTTCTTCTTAAGAGCCGAGTCACACGGTAAAACCATTGTTAGCTCGAATATATAAATTTCTTTAAAAAACATTGATGCGGTTATAATGTACTTACAGCTTACACCATAGAGAATCCCTGTTAACAAAAAGAAAGACTAGTAGGTCTAAACGGAATCACCACCATACTACACTTACGTAACAGTATAATTTATACTAGGTGGTAAATCCTATGTACTGAAAATGAGGAAGAAACAAAGCCACTGCTGATCCCCTACATTCTCTTCACCTTTCTTCACGGAAATTAAATACACTTAAAACAAGTATTTACGAAAGCAGCTTTTTTAAAATAGATAACTTTCAATAGCACGCATATAGTTTTCTGTTTACTTTAAGGGCCTTCATCTTTATAACCTAGTTGAGACCCAATCCATAACTAAAGCCCGAAACATCAAATGCTTCTCTGATCCTGTCATCTACAAGTGGGATTACAGCGTATGCCACGACATATGCTAGCGACAGCTGTAAGTAAACATAGAAACATGCAGGTGAAAGCAGATATTTCAGGGTTCGTTCTAATTAAGAAGGGCGGAGAAGCTCAACGCAGAATGGGCACCAAATGGTTTTTGTAATTCTACCGGAAAACCCTTGTATCATGTTTCTTCTCAAATAGCCCGCCGATACCAACTAAATTAAGCAAAAATCATCATCACCATTCGTTTATAACTCTAATGTGAGTTCCCGGTGTTTGTCTCCGTCATAAGTTTACAGATATCGTTTTCGGGAGGTAAGGATAGGTCATCAAAGTCGTTCCGTATCTCCACAGGAAATCAAAGGCTAACTATGCTCATTTTTACTTCATGTTGAAGGTACAGCAAGCGTTTCATATGTAAATGGCATCTTGAGGAAGATTCTCCAAAATGCTTTTATCAGTGCATGCAATATATTATGAGTGCCCTATATTCGCAAATACAGTTTATATATATGCAATAGGTTAAATTTAAAAAAATTGGGTTTTCGGGTTAGTAGACGAATAGGATAAGAATATAGGCGGTGAGCAGAATGTCTATTTTAAATAAATTCCTGCGGAAATATTTAGTGATTGGAATCGATTGGTAATAGAGAAAAAACATTTAGATTGCAAGGCAGCAGGTTTTCACAATGATGTGGTTTTTATTGGCGTAATATCGTCCTAACCAATAAATGTAAGTCTTGTCAATTTACCTGGAAATTTCATCTGATCGGACCGTGGAATTAAGGGCACGCCACGGTTTCAATATGAAGCTAAATGACTTCTTACAAGACTAACTTTAGATTCAATTCACTTACGGATCTTAATGGGGAGTTTGGAGGCATTTGCTTTTTAAGTAAACAAGTACTTCATAACTGGACTTTATCCATTACTGTTTCCGCCAATGTAACCGCCCTTTTTACTTATCTTGAACTTGAGAAGGAGCCCTTACACATCAATACAAACCGATACTTAATTTGCAATGAACTTATTGCCATGTATTTGAGCAATGCCACCCTCTAAATGGTCGCTTAAGCTTTAATAAGAGATGTTTCCACACAACTTTTTTACACACACTTAGACGTCGCCAGGCCCCAGCTTCTCTGTCTCGGGCGTTCTCATCGCCGGCGAGGCCAGTCCCTATCCTAGTTCCCGCACAGGTGAGCATTTACATTTTCTCTCTATTATTATCAACGACCATCTTTTTAAACAAGTGTATATGTACCTAAAATATGTTTTGAAATATACTTTCGTTTTGTCGACTAGTACTGTTTATCTTATAGGTTTTCGTTAACATTCAAACAACACTCTTAGATAATGGCACATAACTGAGCTATGAATTGAAGCAGTGCCTCCTTACCTTCTAAGCTAAACTGTTAAATGAAGCCATATAAATATAATGTACATATTTGTTTGGTTCAAAATTAGTGTCACGTCCGGGGATAAAAATAGAAATGAAGTAACTTTGCAGCATTTTGTGAATTGAACGGTAGACTGCGGCACCAGCTCAGCTAAGTATGGCTTCATCAGTCTGGGCTGTCCGCGAATATGGCTAGCACGAGCGATGGCGGGACCGAGTTGGTGTAGGTCTTCGCCAACACATCGAACACGCTCAGAATCAGCATGACATCTCACTTTGCACGGTAGGTGATGACGACCATTTGTTGGCAATGTCAACAATCGTTAGCGATTAGTAAATGGCATGCTTTTTGCATTTCTGTTGTAAAACAGGTTTATCATAGTAAGGATAAATAATGGCCGTATTGAAAGAATGAAACGAACAACCTGTAATTTAATTTTATTAATTTTGCCTCAGGTTGGTTATTCGGTCGACATCGCGGGAATGCTAACTTATGTCGTGTTTTTTCGATATCCGTACCTCATCCTGCATGCTTGAGGCATGCAGGATGAGGTACGGATTTCTCATATGATTGTTTTCAGTGCTTTACACCTTATACACGCAACATGAAGTATTAATCGTAAGAGGAGTTTCTGTCATTGGACGTGATCCTTGACTGTCGATATTGGGGTAAACATCGTGTTGTTTAAAAGCACTAGATGGTGCATTAATATTGACTTTTAGGTACGATATTCTAATAAACCAGTGGTAATACAGAGATTACCTCAGTATGTGTCATCATTATATCTTCTGCTATATAATTAGCTTTGAGAAATACTTACAGTTGTATAATTGACTTCATTATGTTGCCTCTGCCATTATATGTTACTACTTTCGGATTACCTGAAATCTGTAGACTCGATATGGAAGCTATGAAGTTCAAGAATTACATTAAAACGGACGCATTTGTACTTTGGCAGGGTTCGTCATGTGTGTAATAGGTTAAGTGCGCCCAATGGACTAAATAGAAAATCTGATGCACTTATTGGACCACCACAAGAACCATCATACTTCGGACTCATGAAGACGTGTGCCTAAATATCGAGTAGGTAGACAGAAAATGAACTGAAGTCTGAATTTTTCGGCTCATTTTTTCACATAAGACAAGCAGATGTCGAACATCTGCTTGTCTTATGTGAGCAGGCCCATGAATTGAACGTTAATGTACGTTATTTGGCATCAGTGATAAAGCTATTAGATATGCCGTTACTTCAAAGACTCCGTTCGCTGAATCTGGACGCACTTCTCGAGCCTTGAAGCGTGGGTGTAAGGCGTGGGGTGTAAGTCCTCCGTTGATATGCGGAGTTGCCAAAGCGGCTGTCTTTGCATTAAATGCAGTGACTTCTGCTTAGAACTGTCGGTGACCGGAGGTAGGAGACACCTTAGGGAGCCCTCAAAGATATTTAACGTTCCCCTACGTACAACATCATAAATCTATCATTATGAAGACGTATTGATTGAGAGCATACCTTGAAGTTGGCAGTTTGAACTGTTTATTTAGTCGTCCATAAGGTGTAGTTAGATATCTTTCGCATCATCCATTTTCATCCACGAACGCAATAGGTGTACACTGCTTTTTCAATCTCTACTGGCGTAGCATCAAGCAAATTTTTCTTCTGTAGCTTACTATTTCGTTCTTGCTTTTCTTCTTAGTTAACCGCAATAACATTCACCTGATGATTTCGTTTGAAGTTATGCTGAATCAACAATTTTTTCGAGTGTCTTATGAAAAAATAGAAACTTTCCGCTTTACTGTTGATTGTTCAATCTGTACATGACGCCAATTTAGCATGACCGAAAACCATATATTTGGAAGACTATTTATACGTTATCTTCGTTATTAAAATGCTGTGTACATACATCGCATATAGGAGGCACTTATTGGACAAATAAATAATTGTCAACGATTCGCAGACAAGAACAACGTTGTAAAAAGATGTAAACCTTTGCTTATTCCAATTCGGATTGCACTCTTCATTTTCTCAAAACGTGCACACGCGTGAATGGGTCTCCATTCATCAATACATTGCTCTTATTGATACACCGGCAAATAAGAAATCACAATTCCAATTAAAAGAGGGGATACAGCGCTCTTTTGCGCGATGTGGCCCAGGTCTAGCCAATCTGTCATTTATAACGAACGACGTTTCATTAATATTTGTCAGAATGGCGACGCTTCCTAAAAGTGTCCTTGTTCAATAATATTGTTAACAAATGAAAAACAAAATCGTTCGACTCTCCATCTCATATCACAGAATTTATTCGTCACCATTTTCACAAACGTTTCTTTAATTACCAGGTTTTAGCAAAGTGAGCCACAGGAGCAGTGTGAACCTTGGCAATGGCGGGGGCGGCGTGCGACACCACGGTTGAGTAGGAAGCAGTAACGGGAGCAGTATGGATCTTAGCGATCGCTGGGGACGCACCAGCATAATGAGCAACAGGAGCGGCGGCAATGACCGGAGCACTAACGTAGGCTACAGGGGCAGTATGAACCTTAGCAATGCTTGGGGAAGCGTGCGACACTACGGTTGAGTACGGAGCAGCAACGGGGGCAGCGTGGACTTTAGTGATCACTGGAGCAGCGTAGGCTAAAGGGGCAGCGTGAACCTTGGTGACGGCGGGGACGGTGTGTGACACCACAGTCGAGTACGCAGCGGCAACAGGGGCGGCGTGGAATTTAGTGATGGCAGGTGTAGCCGCATAATGCGCTACAGGGGCAGTGGTGATGGCCGGAGCAGCAGTATAGGCTACAGGAGCAGCGTGAACCTTAGAAACGGCGGGAGCGGTGTGCGACACCACAGTCGAGTACAAAGCGGCAACGGGGGCGGCGTGTACCTTAGCGGTGGCAGGTGCAACCGTATAATGAGCAACAGGGGCAGCGTCGATCTTGGCGATGGCAGGTGCAGCCGCATAATGAGCAACAGGGGCAGCGTCGATCTTGCCGATGGCAGGTGCAGCCGTATAATGAGCAACAGGGGCAGCGTCGATCTTGCCGATGGCAGGGGCAGTCAGAGGAGCGTTAGAAGCGGGGGCGGTGTGAGTTTTAGTGATAGCAGAAGCAGCTAGAGGAGCGCCAAAAGCTGGGGCGGCCGCGATCGCTGGGGCGGCCGCGATCGCTGGGGCGGCCGCGATCGCTGGGGCGGCAGTGACAGCTGGAGCGGCCGTGATAGCTGGGGCGGCCGTGACAGCTGGGGCGGCCGTGACAGCTGGGGCGGCCCGAGAAGCAGCGGCAATTTTTGTAACCGGGGCCGCGACGCCAACAGTGGCCTCGGCATTGTAAGTGGTCGCCGCTGGGGCAGATGGGACGGTTCCGGGCTCATTGGTCAACACCAAAGCGCGGAAGCCGAGCTCATCGGCAACGTAGTTGACTTGACGGTAGATACCGCGCGCATCAGTGAAACCGTACGCACCCACACGCTGGTTGTACTGATTAGCAGCCTCAGATCGCGATTGCCGAGTGCCGAAGTCATCGACAGTATGGTAACCGAACTGGTACGGGGTGTAGCCTGCGAGTCCCGGGGCAACAACCAAAGCGGCTAAGAGTACAGCGCGGAACTGTAACAATACAAATAGTAAATAATATAGTTAGGCGAAGTATTGTTATTATTCCGTGTATGTATAACTCTGCCGTACTCAATAAAGTGACGGAAAAGCATGGTTATTTAACTTTCGAAGGGGTTCAAAAGATCTTTTTAAATAATATTTAATTTCGATTTTTACCGAAACGGCACCATTACTGACATTTATTTAAATATCAGTATAATATCCCGAAAGGCATACACATTAAGAGCTTCACTATTAGTATTCAAAGTGGCGCTAACATCGATTGTTTTCGAGCCAACAAATGTCTACAGTCTAACTCTTATTGAAGACATGACGACGCATTCCACTTACGGAAATCATGGCTTTGTTTTGCCAAGTTAGCGCGCTTTTTGAGAATCGCAGACGATGAAGATGCTTAAATGGTCCCGCGTAACCGCTTATATAGAAGGCTCTCTCCGGGCCCTCTCTAGGTGACCTTGCTTTTCTTGCTTCCCAGTAAATGCTCCACCACTAGAGGACTGGTATCCGATGCGGTGGCACCCGCCGCAACCGCGTGGACTAGGACCGTTAGTTCAATTACGCAGTGATGATCATTGGCTAAAACTGCCCCCCGCTTCTACCAACATTCGTGATACATAATTATCTATCTTCCGTTCGAATTTTTAGCAACAGAAAAAGTCGACCAAGGAGCAGTTGGAGATGACGAACAAATCGAGAAAAAAAAACATTAACACAATGATAATGGTCTCTTTTGCCGAAGATATAGAGCGTTCAAGTACTGGCCGAGGCGGGGCGGCGGGAACGATTATATCGATCGATACGTATATGCATCTATATTTTGTAGAAGCAACGTAACAGAAACGCTTGCCTGCTACACAAAATAAGATTGACGCTAACTGCCGAGTTACTGCACCTTGGCATATTTGGAGAATCGGAAATAGGTTTTCAGGTACTTACTAAGATGATTAGTATCGGACGTTTACAGCGTAATTACGAAATAGAGAACTCTACTCTGATGGGTTAATAGATGCCCTGAATTTTGAGTGCGACAGAATTTCGAAAATTGCATGCTTTCCCAAGCTGCCCGTTTGCGCTGAATCATCTACGAGGCCTACGATTCAATGTATAGCAGGTCGATTTTTCTATTATAAAAGACAAAAGAAAAGTATACAGAAACCTTGAGCTTTTTTTTTCAAACAAAACGGAACAAAAAGTAATAATTTATTTTTTAGCACGACATAACATATGTCATAAGTCATTGTACGCACTTGAAATGGTTATTTTGGTTTTAGCTAACATAGCTGAAGAAAAAATAACAAACTGTATGTTTACAAATTTGAAGTACCTAAAAATAGAAAATACACTACATGAAGGAAGTGGCCTTAATTAAATATAATTGCAGCATATAAACGCACTCTTGTGAATTATAAAGGAAAACTTACAGCGTTCGGCTTAACCTAAAAATGCATTTAGCCAGGTACAACGGATACAATCAGTCTATTTCTTGAGTTACGTAAGGGCGTCGGAAAAAGATCGTTTAACGACAGTATAATCGAAGTATAAACACTAACCCGTCTACCCTTAAGATACAAATCATTTCCGCAGTTAACCTTTACATAGAAATAGCAGTTTTGGTACTTAAAACAGCAGGCTTGCAGATCATGGCGCCTAAACTAGGACAAACTTTACTGGGCCTTTATCGTGCATTCATCTATGGCTCCTGGTATCGGGCGAAAGCTAGTTTTTTTATTTAAGACAAAATAACCGACGAGTCAAGTTAAGCAAACATCAGTTGGTAGCCAATCTTGACGCGCTAAGCGAAGTTCCACCGAGTTTTTTGGTTTGACAAAGTGCCGTGTCATAAATGATTATATCGCTTCAGGAAAAGTAAAAACAGATCCCAGCACAATAGAGCAGAAAGTTTACCAAAAGGAAAGATCTGTTAAGATCAAAAAGAAAGTTAATCGTTTCCGTAAAAAAGTGCATTTCTAATAATTATTTTATTAAACATTTGGTGTGAATGAGCGTATGATTCTTCATGAGGTACAAGTCATATGTCATGAAGGCCAGACAGATGCTCTGTGAATTCAATAAAACTAAGAGATTTGACCAGTGTCGTTCAATCGGAGAGGACTTGCTACTTCATCCTTGACAGAACCGAGTAGCAAGTCCTCTCCGATTTTCGCGGATAAGGATTTTGTTATTCTTGATGCAAAATGAGCATCTAAATGATCACTGCTCTGCTTACGATTCTCGAGATGTGTCTATCGTGGATAGAAGCAAATTTTCGGCTAAGGATCATGTCCTGAGTGGAGTGTCCAGTAAAGGAGATGTCACGCCACCATATTCCTTCGAAAAGACGACCGCGTCACAAAAAAAATTCATTTGCATGTACTACGAACGGTTACGCAATATTGGATGACTAAAGTGTCTGAAGGAGCATCATAGGTTCTTCAGTAAAATCGTAGATCAGTTCGAACAAGCCGATTAGCGCAGGGTTGGCTGCTTGTGAATATAAGCATGTTCTGGTCTGATCATCTATAGCCACCAGATTTGAACTGAACCCGTTGTATTACTATGCACCGAGTCTCATACAGATCTGCACACGACAATGCCAACTCGTTCATCCGCAATTATGTTAAAAAAGGCGTTTGCAGAACTGCAAAAGGGCGTTTAAAACGAATCTGTAAGTAGTTTAGGACCCGCATTGAAATTGTGATCGCAATGAATGGTGCTTACACTAAATAGATTTTACCGTTACGAACGGCACCTTTAGCACATGCAGAAAACATTGTTAATATATCTGTTTTTACTAAGATGTAATTGTTGAAGTGAAGTATGAGAAACAGCCGAGTTGAGGTCAATGATGGTCTTCCGTAGTGAATACCGTATCACTTCAAGTGATTTAGATCATACGAATGTCTAACCGTTAGAAACAGCATCTCTAATATCTAAAATAAACCCGTGAAATAATGAATATATTAAAACGAAGAAAAAGGAAATCAGGCTCGGTCTTGTGCTCCTCTTCATAGACATTGCCTTGAAGTGTTCAACTACTTATACGACCTCACTTTAAAGCTACGATTTGAAAAAGGTCTTTTTTAAGCAATTCAAGCGATCGAATGCAATTTCGATAATTTTGGGATAAGAAAACGGAATTTTTTCTATTTATGAATAAGGAGGAGCTACGAGCATTACCGATCGGTTGCGTTGATATTGCGATCCCTTAGGTAAAACCATTTGGTTGTGGATTTGGTGTATTCCCATGGACGAAAAGGTTCCGTATACGAAGTTTTTTTTCTATAGCATTTTTTCTAATAACACAAAAATCAACCGTCTACTGCGTACTATTTGTAACTATTTCATCGGAATTTTTTTAATGTGCCTACTTTACATTTTCGATACACATGGAAATAACGAAAACTGAACTCATTAATAACGTCTTTGCCACACCACACGCCCATTCCAGTCGAAAGTTTTCAATTGAAAAACTCTAATGGCTGCATAGATATGATTAAATGATACGATCATTAAAAATTACTCTTTCTTAAAAAATTACTTTTTAATGAAAAGAGCTTCATTACAAACTGTGTCAATATTTTGTAGAAAATCGCGCAAATCTGCCCGGTGTGGAGCAATTTTTGTCGACCGCTCCTTAATCTTAATGTTCAGTTTAGGTAATTCAGTGGTCCAGATGCGGACGAAAATACATCTTAAAAGAGACTTATCTTCTTCTTTATTGATTACGTAAGCTATAGATATCATTACACATATTGAATATATAAGTAAAATACGATCTTTTTTTCGTCTAATTGATTGAGCTGTCGGCAATATTGTTTGTGAGATCAAATTAGCAGAAGTTAGACCTAGGCAACTTATCATATTTTTCTGCGCAATCGTTAAGCATCCACCTTTGTTATAGTTGAATATTTGCCTGTAAATATGAAAGGTTCCAAGTAAAACGACATTTTTACTATATTTGGGCTGTTAATAGGAGTTACCCGTTTGGATAGATAGTTTAGACTTTCCGTGTGTGAAATGCCGTGATCAAAAACACAAATGGATGTTCTCTTTGAGGCTGGTAGACTTATCTTCTGAACCAGCATGTTCTGCAAATGGTATTCTGGCCCTTAGAGTCAAACGCCTGCTTCAAGTAGAATCCCAATCCCGTCTTAACCCACTTTAGATTCTCTCGTAGGTTCGAATTAGGAAAGCCCGGATGTCTTTTCTGTGAAGGTGTTAAATTCGCTCACTTCAACTTATAAATAAACTCATATTTACGGTAGGACTCCTCTGTAGCATTTGTTGTTTTTAATTTATAGCTCTAGTCCTTCAGTATCCAATGGATGGACTTTGTTCAGGTTGCCAAGTTGAGAACTTTATCGAGATGTCGATACTCCTAAAATGCGCAATAGTAGCTGCGGCAGAATATTTTATATGGGGACAGTAATGATATTCTAGCCGTTGAATGAAGGGTTTCCTTAGTTTATTACGTTTCGCGCATTCTTCGTGCAGTATTCCACTACTGATGCACTACAACAACTTTTGCATAATAGGAACAATTATTGCTACAGACCCTATGCAGATACAGATGTAAAACCCAATAGTTTTGATGGCCTCTGGCTTGAAAAAACCAGGGATCATTGCTTTAACCCTGAAGACGATGCATACTGCTGAAACTTCTCAGATATATCATCGTTCAATCGCCGAGACCATTTTGAAGACGGCCCTAAAGATGTTGGTGTTATTTTACTCGCTGATCTGGTTAGACAAAAAGGTACTCTCGTGCAAAAAACGTATACGGAAAGATTTTTAGAGTAGTAAGTAGAAAACTTTCACTTTCTAATATCTGCAAGTGTCAGTTTCATCATAAGCCTAAGATTTGATTTTTAAAGGAAAAAATCTATCTTTCCCGTTCTTCGCCGTCAAGTTGAATATACTTTTTGTTAGAAAAATTAGTTGAAGATTTCTGAAAACTATCAATACTTTCACGCTCTTATATAAAAAAAAATTAATATAAAATTTAATTTTAACTGAAGTTGAAATTTGCGTGTGGCTCGATGAGGCAGCGAAGTCGAATGATGGGTACAAAAATATGTTACATCTTCTATACTATGCACAAAAAGTGACATTTAATTAACCCAGAAACGAAAAATAGAGGATCATCAGGACGATAACACCAACTAGCCCAGGGATTACGAAAGAATCACAAAACGACATAGCCGAAAAAGATCATATAATTGTTCTAAACGAAAAGATAGATCAACGCGACGGAATGACTTAAACAATATAGGTGGGTTAATTGATTCAAGATTACAGAAGAACTGCAACGGAAAATGCCCACGCAGGTTACCAACGTAGTATAAGAGGATGGTAGAATAATTTCAACGGGTTCTAGTTCAGAGCAGATTTTGGTTCAGCAGGTCTGAACTCGCAGTCTGACGTTCTGCGTACCCGTGGGGCTACAGTAATATAACCTGTTTTATGATCGGGCACTGGTACAGCTACCAGAGGTCTGGATACGGCAGACAATTTAACATTAGATAAGATTTTACACTTTATATGTACTCGATATTCTCTACTGTTGTCTGGCTTATTACGTTCATATGCATTATACGGCTTCTAGAGGTTTCTTATTGTAGTGCGTCAATAGACATACCTGTGTCTTCCGCGGCGCACTGTAAATACATACGGTCCTTTTTCCGCCAGGTAACGCTTCCTCTGCAGGGCCGGAGGAAGATAA